ATTGGTCCGAATCCGAAAAAGTGAAATTTAGCGGGAAGACCCTCTCCCATTGTCATGTAGTATGACTACAATAGAGCCAAAGATGCAGAGGGTGGGGTTGGTGTAACAAAGCTGTGGTACGCGACTCAAAAGACCAATCCTATTGGCGGAGGGTGCATAATGGATCCTCCCCCTATAGTAAGATTCGTCTATGACAGACCGCATGCAATTTTTCAGGTTGACCATGATATGGTTAATGAGCCAAAATGCTTATTGCATCCGTAAGGAAGGATAAGAGTGACACTGATGTTGTTTGTCTTCAAGCTTTTTATAGTACAAGATGGGTTGAAGCGAACTGGAAATTAAAAAGTAGATTGGATTGATTTGTTCGCTGCCCTGAAAACAATTCCAGGGCAGCTTACTATAAAGGTAGTCTCTTGTTGTAGATATGGATGGCAAATGGGTTACAAATTTCTATGCTATTCAAAACAAACAACCGTGATCGTGATGATCATATGGCATACTATATTACATCATGTTGTCGGATGCTGTGAATTGCTCCGTTATTATCAGGGATTGACTTTTTGATGAGCGTATCAATACTATTCTTCCTATTGTTTGTATGAGAGGTAAACACGTTGTTGGATCTCATTCGTCTTGCCATAAAGTTGAACATCGGTACATAGCAATCATCAATCGTCATGCTGTGCTCGACGACTGCTCTTGTATAGTACCATTATGCGCCTATTACTGACCTTGGCGGGTATTACGTATCAAGAGGGAAAAGAAGGGGATTAGGCAGTTTCAAAACATTTTTCGAAGAAAAAAAAAGCCAGGACAGCCGTAAAAGATAGTAGACACATAACAGGAACGCGGATGCTTATTCTCCGAGTGATAATGCAACATGCGCATAATGCCGATGAAGTGAATAAATCTTCGAGATCTCTCTTTTTTTGTTGTTCTTCCTCAAAGGTACAGCATAAAAACGTGCACGATTATCAACAATCAACGGGTCTTTCAAATTGATCTATTCCCAAAAAATATTTGTGCATCGGGATGAGGATCTCCAACGTTGTTGCTGCAGCAGCAGCAATCCACAATATGATGTCGTGGAGTTCACAAGTCGCAGCTGCACCCTTTTCATCAGCAAATACGGCAATGATTGATCTCCTTGTCCCATTATCACAAAGCGCACCCAACACGAACTTGTTCCCTAAAATACAACATCCATACCCACCAGAATACGCTGACTCACGTTCTAACAATGTTGTGCCAACCAATTCGTGGATCAGTAACCTGTTTTACGACAGCGTGGAGCATCTTGCACCCACAACGCCTGATCCTTATACCCTTCGGATCTTTGATGGATATGGAGGCAACCCCGGTCTCAGCATACGACAGCCATCGAATAAGGTATGATAACATTCACACTTTTATTTATGTTTATGTTGATTCTTTTGCATGCATGCATGATGTAGGTATTTGGATCATATCCACCGATGAATGATGTGCCGTATACAGAGTCAGGATACATGATCAATAGCGTTGTGGTGGATCTTCGCTTTACTTGTAGTGAATGGGGCCAAGGCTCAAGACCAAGTCAATCAGTCACTTCGTGGGATCATTTTTCTGCCAACTTGGAGTTATCTACTGCTCCTGGTGATCAACGCCGTATTGAATTCCCGCTGGTGCGTGGCATGGCATATGTTACAGCCATCTATCACAATTTGACACCGCAGTTCTTTACCCAACATGCCATCATTCGTGTCGATGCCGATTCCTCTTCAGGCAATGAACGCTTCGTGGGTCGCAAGTTTAAGATATCCATGAACGACAATCCCACATCGACGTTCCTTATTTATGCACTTGGTGATCAACCTCTTGAGCTCCGCAGAGAAGGCACCTCAAACCTTGTGGCATCGCGTCCTTACAATGGCCCCATTCGTGTTGCAAAGCTTCCCAATGCTGGCGACGAGTCGACATTAGATGGCAGTAGTGGTGTATGGCCAACGGGTGGTAGACTCAGTGCCCAAGGCAGTCGAGAACAAGGCGAGTACCATATCGAATGGGAGACTCAAGGCGGTTCAGCAGACAAGCTCCTCATGTATGCATATCCACATCATTTGGATTCCTTGACCAATACACAAAGGACACGACTTTCGTTACAATCAGCGACAAAGGGTGCCATGACAGCTGTATTGGGATCTCGTTGGTCTTTGCATGAGGCGTCGTTAAGCCCTGTGGAATGGCTTCCATTGAATCCAGCAGCACCTGCTTCAGCTATCAATGAAATCATGGCCGCCATGGATAAGGATTTACAAAGCGATTATCGAGCAGAGACCCTGTTGGAAGACAATTATTTTTCAGGCAAAGGACTACAAAAGTTTGCCATGTTGGCGCTCGTTCTCAACAAACCAGAGCTCACTCAACTACGCAATCCTGAACTCGCTGCAACATCTTTGGAAAAGCTCAAGAATGCATTCGTACCATACCTTGAAAACAAGCAGCATGATCCATTCCGATATGATAGCGTCTACAGGGGCATTGTTGCACGAGATGGTCTCCCAACTTCCATGGGTGGCAAAGGCGATGTCAATGCTGAGTTTGGTCATTCGTTGTACAATGATCATCATTATCATCAAGGCTACTTGATTGTTACGGGTAAGGTGGAGGTGGAGATGAATTCAAGGGAATCATACAAAAGTTACTAACGCACACGTATACTAGCTGCTATCATTCATTACTTGGATCCTCATTGGAGATCAGAGGAGATTACTCAATGGACCGAAACGCTTATCCGAGACGTCAATACACCAGTGGACAATGATCAGTATTATGCACCATTCAGGAACTGGGATTGGTTTGCAGGACATAGTTGGGCTGGTGGTATCAAGATCAATGGCGCATTGGATGGTCGTGATCAAGAATCGATTCCAGAGGTAAAGGAAAAAGGAGAAGGGTTGCTTGTTGTACATGCCTTTTTGATTGACGTTCGATGCAAAAGTCTGTGAATTTCTACTGGGGCACAAAACTCTGGGGATTGGCTACCAACAATGATGCACTTGTTAATCTCGCGGCACTTCAATTGGCCATTACCAAGAGAACAACCTATGAATACTTTTGGATGCTCGACAACAACAAGAATCGACCACGGAACATTATCCAAAACAAGGTGATTGGTATCTACTTTGAGCAAAAGGCCGACTATGTAAGTATCACAACTACTAGTGAAATGTACGCAAAAATGGCTGACACACTATAATGACATTAGACCACTTATTTCGGACGCTATGTCGAGTATATTCATGGCATTCAACAACTTCCAATGACACCAGCCCTTGCCGATGACATACGTATACCAGAATTTGTAAGTAGGCAGACCCATTCTTTTTATGCGTGCGAGCCAAATCTCACAAATATCTATTTTTAGGTTGGTCAAGAATGGCAACAAAAGCTCGCCAGCATTGCACCCAATGTTCGTAGTCCATGGGCCGGTGTGCTTTATCTCAACTATGCATTATTGGATCCCTCGGCAGCCTATGCACAATTAAGAAGAGTGCCCGTGGATGATGGACAAACACGCTCATTCTCACTTTATCTTGCATCAACACGAGGCAACTTCCAACGAGGTCTACGATTGAACAGACAACTCAATAGCAGCCTTCCAGCATCATCATCCACACCAGGATCGGATCTACGAACTCAAAACCGCAATCCCTTTTCTTCGTCAGCCGTGAACATTATCAGACACCTTGGTTCCACTGACAACAATCATGATGACCGATACAACGGCTATTGATGATGCAAACGACGACTACTACTAGTACTACTACTTGTTACCCCAATGATATCCATATCCAATAAAAAAGCGACAATGAATATAAAATGTACTAGATGATGATGGTTTCTATTCACGAAGAGAGAAAAAGAAATTGATAAAGAAAAATAAGGGGATACTAAACTATTAGCAGGCAATGATGTTGTGTGTGTGTGTGTGAATGTCAAAGAATACAATGGTATGTACATGATGGGGGCAGGTATCGTGATGATGGAGGAGGGTATCGACAGCAATGAGTGGTGCAAGCTTAATAAAGATGTCGTTTACGGATCATGTGACCTGATGATAATTTGATGGATCGTGATTCGCATTCACGCCAGGAACGCTTGGTGCCTAATTCATGTGATACGAGTCTCCATGCATGTTTGAAAAGATCGGCATGCTTCCTGAGTGCCATATCCAAAAGTGCGTCTTCATTATCGTCCCATTCACGATGCTCGATTGTTTTGGTTTGAAGCGTCTTGAAACGGCCCCAGCAGCAACCACGTGAACGATGAGGCAAATAGGTTGACGAGATCATTGCCCATGATAAACCTTGATTGTATCCACGTTGTAGTAATTCATCCTCTTCCCGTGTCCATGGCACTCGACTCTGAGCACCCTTGTGTTGACGTCGAATCGTTGGGTAAGTTGGCAAAGGAGGGATAATAGGTGAGCCGGGTGGTGGAGAACTCAATGTTGCCGTCTTGAATGAGGAAGGCGACGATTTGACAAATGACATGGCAGGACTACTACCATTGTCTTCCGATTCGGGTAATGAGAGTGTCGAGGACCAGTTAGGTTGTTGCTGAACTACGCCAGGATAGATACTATAGTCGTCGTCGTTGTCGATAGGTAACATTGTGTTGGCAGTATGTTGAGAAGGACAAAGTAAGTTTTTGATATCCATGTTAAGAGAATGATGTAGTCGTGGATTGTGAAGAAAGAAAAATAAATGAACAAAGGCTCTGGTATTTATATCTGCTACTCAAGGAGACAATGAACGAGTATTAGGGGATGATAGATCCGTCAATCCAGAAAAAATAAAACGCATATGCATGGGGAAAAGGGTGATTCAATGACACAATGATAGCATCATAAGTATTATTGGGGATCTGCCAGATATCATCATCATCATCATCATCATCACTGCTGCTGCTGCTGCGGGTATAGAGATTAACTCCTGACAAGCACTCCTTTTGTGGGCTGTAAAGATGACAGCAGAACATCGTAATGTCCCTTTGGTATGTACTCCTATCACCTTTCATAAGGCTTCTTGTAATAGTACACACCCATCCACGCGATGTCCCTGAATACACTTGGTATCCACGTTGTGTGTTTCTTTGTTTCCTTGTTTCCCTTTCTTTTATTATTGGTGTGTTTCCCCAACAGGCACTTTGACCCAAATGCATCATAGCAGGCCCCAGGAAGCATTGGACCATTGCAACATGGTTGTTGAGAGAAGAGGCTGTTCCTGCATGATACATCAGCTTTGGCTATAGGGGACCCCATATATTGCTGCAATGGGAATGTACTAGATTTAGTCATCATAATGCTTGTATCATTGTCTCGAAAAAAGAATGATGGTGATTATGGATGATGCTTTACCCAAAAGTGCAGATGAACTGTGGGTTGCCCTATTTCGTCCGTTTTTTCCTTTTCGAGTAGCCTCGTCAACAAAGTCAGTTATAGTTACACGCACTTTGATCACGATCATGGCATGTAAATTGACAAGTAAACGATATATACATGGTTTTATTGCTAGGTGATCTATACTCGGTATGGATGTAAAGTGGGGATCCTAACGTTTCCTTCCCCTTTCTTGCGGCCATGTTCGTGGCAATAACAAGACATGCATTTTCCTAGCATTGAGTATAGTATGCGCCATAAAACTGGTTTGAATGGCAGATTCATTAGCAGAAAGCGTATCCCAAAAATCTTCAAAGCGATCGCACGGACAATGACCATCGACTTTTTATTGAACGAAAAATAATAATGAGGTGGATCATTCATTCATGAATTATTATACTTGACTCCTTTGTTGAGCATGGTGGAGAATTGATGATGGCCCTAGGATAATTTTCTCCTTGGAGGAGGTACCTGGATGGATCCGCATGTCATCGATGTGCTGCGTGTGTGCGTGTGTGTGTGTGTGTGAGCAAGACCTCGCCGCTCTTTACCTAAACCTTAATTTTGCTCCGCGGCATAAATGTCAGTCGACAACCCTGGCTCTTTCCCCTCTTTTCCTCTTTTCCCAGGACCGTGCTCAATCATTGTGCCTTCTTCTTCTCATTATTCCCGATGCCTCACATCTGCAGTAAGAGCAAATCGTCATCATACTTTGCTTCGGCAAATGCCGTTAATCAATATGCTCCTGATACCGTCATTGAGCCCATTCATCTTGGTAAGAATACTATTCTCTTTTGCACACGTGCATTATCCTTTCTCCTCCCCTCTAATCCCCCTACTATTATACTCCTCCTTGTTAGACATCTCTTTGCATCTGGATGATCTGCATGACAAGACTCTCAAGGCCAAAGTCATAACGACATTTGCTCACAATGGCTTGTCTTTGCCTTCATGCAACGCGTCTTCCTCTACCACTGCCCTCAATGCAGAAGCATTCCAACATGTCAAAGTCTCCGGTGCCTCATTCAGCTACGACGGTCATCGCATTCAGCTCAAATGGGACACGCCTTTTGCCAAGGACGAACAGCGTAAAGTCACCATCGACTATATCATCAGTCATCCCACTGCTGGTCTCTATTTCCAAAACGAGGATTCCATCATGGGCGCACAGCCATGCTGGTTGATTACAGATCATGAAACTGAAAAGTAAGCTGCTGCTACTACTACTACTACTGATGCCATCAGCATAGCGTGTTAATGCTTTATGTATGTAGAGCGCGTTATTGGCTACCTACTGTCGACTATCCAACAGTGCGCACGACGTTGACATGGGATATTACGGCCCCTCAAAAGTACACTTCTTTGGCCAACGGCAAATTGCTGTCGGATGAAACAAAGGATGGCTACACTACAACGCGCTGGCAACTTGATTATCCATGGTAAGGTACAAGGATTGGTGCATTATTATTATGCAGGCTATTGATTGTTACTATTACTATGTAGCCCATCCTATCTCGTATGCTTTGCCGTGGGTGAATTCATTTCGGTTGATGCTGGTGAAGTGGATGGCAGACCTATCAAGGTATGTAGCTAAAATGATTGCAACATCGTTGTATTGACGCCACACACAACATACGCACCATAGTACTTTACTGCCGAAGGTTATAAACAAGCTGATCTTGAAAGAGCGTTTGACAAGACGCCAGAGATGATCCGATGGCTCGAAGCTAAAGTGGGCGTTACATGTAAGTTTCCAGACCTTCCCCCACACCCCCCCCAAACAACACGCGTTACACGCATGCTAAATGACACAAAAACATACCCATACTTAGTCCCATGGCCAAAGTATTACCAGATTGCATTGCCAGCAATTCGTGGCGCAATGGAGAACATCTCTTTGGTAAGAAGAAGGGGTCTGTCTACAAGGCTGATGGATGATCTGATGCATCTTGTTTAGGTGACTTGGACCGATACATTTGTCATTGATGAGAAGAATGCATTGGAACGCAAATATTTGACGGATCTTGTCAATGTCCACGAAATGGGTAAGTGCTTCCCCGAATATTTCGGGGGTAGAGGAGCCGCAGCAGCACCCAAAGATTCTCACACTCTCTTGTAACACTCATTTTAGCCCACACCTATTTTGGTGATCTTTTGGTCATTCGTCATTTCGAACATGCTTGGCTCAAGGTGAGGCTTGTAGCAACCATGTCAAATATGGAAATACTGACACATTTATGTCATTTGCAGGAAAGTTGGGCAACCTATATGGAATCATGTAAGTACAAGGAAATGTGATGATGATGATGCGGATGATGTCTGATGATATGTGCACAAGGCTGGTTACAGGATAAGAAATCCGAGAACGACTTTCGATATGAGATGATGACCAATGCCAAAGGATACATCAAGGAATGTGCAAAGTACATGGTAGGGTATCGTACTTTATAGGATCATTGCCACACACAAGGTCTAACATTTATCTTTTCCCCAGCGTCCCATTGTTACTCGCAAATATGATTCCTCGTGGGACATGTTTGATGGCCACACCTATCCTGGCGGCGCTTGGCGTATCCACATGCTTAGAAAGAAGCTTGGTGACGAAGCGTTTTGGGCTGGTGTCAAGCTTTATATCGATGAGTTTGCAAAGTCGACCGTTCAAACAAGCGATTTTCAGAGATGTTTGGAGCGAGCATCCCAACTCAACTTGCAACGTTTCTTTGATGAATGGGTTTACTCAAAGGGATATCCTACCTTCAAGGGCTCGTTTGACCATGATCTTGCCAATGGCACTGCACGTATTTCTTTGACCCAAACGCAAGTTTCCGACAATGACAACATTCCTTTGTTCGGCTTGGATATGGAGATTGAATTGACGGATGACAAGGGCCAAGTGTACAATACGACGCTCACTTTTGATCGAGAGGCAACTGCAATGGCCACCATTCACCTCAACAGCAAGGATGCTCAGCCCAAAGTATTGAGAGTTGATCCAGAAATGAAATTGCTTTACACCCTTGAGATGTCAGCTGGTGAATCAGTGCTCCAACATACTGCTACCGAGGCGGCGGATGTACAGAGTCGTGTTTGGGCATACAATGAGCTCGTGAAATTGGGAACGTATCCAGCATTAAGCTTTGTCGCCGATCACATTGTCAAGGAGCCATTCTATGGAGTTCGCATTGAAGGTAAATATGAGACAAGCAATGAAAGGATCACTCTTCTTAATACATGAAAATAGTGTCGTCAGCGCTTGCCAAGTTGAAGAGTGCACAAAGCTTGCAAATCCTAGCCCATGTGCTTAAGAATGAAAAAGACCCAATGGCATTGTGGACTATCGCTTCCGTGGCCCGAATTGAAGATAATCATATCCGTGATGCAGCTTTGGAACGGCTTTCCCGCCACGATGAGCTTCCCTATCGGTAAGATAATCACTTTATCATGTCTATACGCAGTAATTGATCACCATCCCCTATACATTCAGTGCACATGCAGCTCTATTGGTTGTACTTGCTGAGCAGCACCGGGATGAAGATTTGGAGTATCTTCTCAAGGTTGCCAAAGATGATAGCAAGATTGGTCAGCATGGCTTAATTCGTGGTGGAGCATTGAAAGGTAGGTACCTGGTAGCATAGAATAGGCTATCGTGTTGTTGTGTATCTCACCTCGAACCTTTTTTATTATCCAGCGCTTGGCTATCATCGTAGTGAAGAAGCCTTCCAGTATCTCATTTCACGAGTTGGTTACAACATTGAACCAATGCGAGCACGCTTCCAAGCTGTTGATGGATTGGCTTACTCGACAAGCTGGCAAACCGATCGATTGCAAAAGCAGGCAAAGGAAACACTTGGTAAGTGTCACTTTTGGAAGGATCATTAGAGGGTTGGCCGATACCAATCAAGTACCTTTATAGTGAAATTGGCACGTGACCCCAACTTCTTGGTACGAATGACGGCTGTTGAATCATTGGTCAGCCTTGGTGTCAAATCCAGTTACAATGATGTGGCCTATACACGATATCTTTATTCGGAAGATGACCAATCGTGGTTGGATCGCAAGTTGTATGAATTGTATCATCAAGACATCAAAGATGCCTCAAGCAAGGCTAATCAAGAATTGATTGAGAAGCTCGAAGGAAGACTTAAATCTCTCGAAGACAAGCTCCAAAAGTTGACAGCTGCTGGTAAACAAGAGGAAGCTTGATCCTGATGTCTTTTGTACCATACGTGGAGGATCAAAAGAGTAGTATAGTGTCTATTTTATCTATATAGAATTAAACGCGTATTCCTTATCCTCTCTATGAAGTCATCATGTGGTATTTTGAGAGTGAGAGCAGGATCATGTTATGCTCAGCGTGCTATATTGGGGGTGTTGACATGGCTGAAATGAAGAATTTGTCTTGGCAGAAACAAACTTGCAGCTGTACACAAAAGTAGGCTGTGCGGTGCTAAAGGGAACACGATGGTTTGTGTTACAGAATGCAAGATCAAGATTTGCATTTTGTCCTTGGCGACAACGGATTGCAAAGGAACAGATCCGATACATCCGATAAGCATGGATACCATTGCTATGCAACAAAACGATGCAGAAAGAAGACCAAACCAGGATCCATCACAACTTATCAAAGCACATCAAAGATATGAAGTTCATGGGGTTTATGCCTTATGGCATCGTCTGGGTGACAATAGGACATGAGGAAAAGGATGGCTGAACAGGTGCTAAAAATATAACACGCACACTCTCTGTTGACTTGTATACCCCTCAACGGCTCGTTTGTTCTTTTGTATCTTTTCATTTATCTTTCGTTGCTTTCCCGCTGGTACGGCAAAGCTATCTCTTTTGCTTTTACTTTTTTCATTCCTGCATGTTCAACTCTTCAAACCGAGATAACGATCGGGATCCCTCCTCATCTCAGCAAGGACCAACCGCCTCCAGCCCTGTAATGTCATCGACACCGGATCGAGCTGTACATTTCAAACCACCCACACCACCTCCTCACGATAACCAAGTCTCTCAATCGCGCGAGAATCTAGTAGACCAAAGTCTATACAACCGTTCACCAGGGCCACAGCAAGCGTCCAGCCCCTATCCACCCCCTTCTCAACAACCCTACAACAACAACAACTATTACAATGGATATTATCCTCAACAACAACCTGGCTATTATTACCCACCACCCCATCAAGCTGTTCCTGTGAATGTGCAAGTGGCGACAACACGACAATGGCCAGCAGTATTCACCTACATCACCGCGCTTGGTATGCTTGCCGTTCTCATTTACGAGCTTGTTTACAATAAGCAAGTTACTGGCAATGTGATTGAGACATCACCTTTTAATATCATGATCGGTCCCTCAGCCAATGTAAGTAGGGTAAACGGGATAAGGAGAGAAACAGAGACAACATGTGGGTTGATGAGTTGCACAAAGACTGCTGCAGTTGCTGAGTGGAAAAAAAATTAGACATTGATTCTTATGGGAGCACGTTTTGTACCTTGCATGCATGAAACCTCCAGTTACCCGGTAGATGGCGCATTCCAATGTCCCAACATGACTGACGTTGGCCAAAGTGGCACAAGCGCACCTGTTTTCACTCCTACGCAAACCAACGTGACCATCAATGGCTCTCCATGTACCTTACAAGAAGTCTGTGGCATGACCCAGTTCAAGGATCCCAGTGTACCAGATCAATGGTATCGCTTTTTATCAGCCATCTTTTTGCATTCGGGTGTTATCCATTGGCTATGCAACATCATTGTTCATCTCTCACTCGGTGCAAGTATGGAACGATTCATGAATCCTCTTCGCTATGCCATCGTGTGGTTGGCTTCAGGCGCTTTTGGTTTCATCTTTGGAGGCGTGTTTACACCCGTGGGCAATGGTATGTTGGGGATGAGTTTGTAGATAGATGATCCTAACTTGGGGTTTGTTGTACCTACATAGCTTCAATGGGATGTTCAGGTGCTCTCTTTGGCATTGTTGCATTGTTGTTTATCGATCTCTTTACCAAGTGGAAGGTTGTCTTACATCCAGCATGGGAATTGACCAAGCTCATCTTTTTGATCCGTAAGTGGTACAAGCTGCTGCTACACAACGAATTCCTTCCATGCTGATTGTTCCATGTAGTGATTAGTTTTGTCTTTGGATTACTACCTGGGTAAGTGATTTTGCAATGTGACCATTCGAATCGCTTGGCTGATGATGCATGAATGTTAGCTTGGATAATTTTGCCCATATTGGTGGATTTGTCGCAGGGCTCATTTCGGGCATTATCTTCTTCCCTATTCCATCACACACCAAGACATCTACAATCATTTTGTGGGTTATTCGACTTGTACTTTTGGCTGGTTTAGCAGGCATGTTTTATGGCATGATCAACCTATTCTACAGTGGACGTAGCTCGGAAGACGTAAGTGCTATTGTTTTCTTTCCCAAAATGATAAGAATGCTAATGATGGATCAACAATGATGGTATATATAGATCTGTTCCTGGTGCAAATACCTTGCATGTTTACCCATCAACAACATGTGTGATGCATATCATACCTCATAGTGTACATAGACCCATTATCCTTATCTAAAAAAGAGCTATTCAAGATCCCATCTCTGTGTGTGACATGGTAGAATTTGGACGAGTATTTTGCAAAAGGGATTGTGAGGGACCCGATTTTTTCCTGCAAAAGGTGTATTTCGGGAACATGACCCATTGGAAGATTGGATACGAAAATTTATCATCCGTATCCACATTATGGGGAGATGTGGTATGAGATGTGAATAATACATGCATGAGAGTAGTAGCTGATACGACAAAAACAAGCTATAGCTTTCCACGGCAATGACCGAAAAAGAGAGTAATGTGCTGTATACATTGTCGTACCAGAACGGGCTGTGCCGGCACGATCGGGATATGTTATTCTTCGATCATCCCACCCCGCTTTCCAAGGCACAGGATGTGGGGATAATTGGGTTGTTTGGCGGGGTTTTCACCCGAGCCTGAGAAGAAACGTGGTGGCGGGAGATTTTGGAAACAGACTCAAAACTTAACGCACGTACGTTGTTTGCTATTTTCCTTTTCTTTCTCTTTTGTTTTGCCTCTAAATGAATGGCTTCCCAACTGCTCCCAGCAAGTCGATACCATTGTATCAGCATGATCAACTACCTCCATTCTCCTCATCCAAGAGGCCATCTTCTGAGCAGCAACAACAAATGCCTTCGGAGTTACAGGATGTCATTTTCTATTATCAATCACAACCTGAATTGCTTCGTTTGATCTTACAGAGCAAGTTGGAAGAAGATAAACGTCGTGCTGAAGAAGCAAAGTTGCGTTCCAAAGAACTCGATTTGATCATGCTACAACAAAAAACAACAGCTCCTCTTCCTTCAACATCAGCGAACGACAACAATGACGATCCAAGAATGATGACCCCTACTACTACCTCTGCACGTCATTCGAGTATGGATATGGATCCCAATGCTTTCTCTACAGCTCGTCGTCCATCCTTGTTACATATGACATCTTCTTCACCCATGCCACCCACATCGACTGGTCCAACCGCATTTACACCTGTTGTAAGCCATGTTGATGAACAACATCATTCACCCCATGTTACCAACAACACCGTCGTAACGTCATGTGCATCATCGTTATCTTCATCTTCGATGCCTGCCACACCCAACACTGCTGGCAGTGGTATATTCCAACAACAACAACAACAACAGCCACCGATTTATTCAATGGAAAAGACACCAACTGCTACTACGCTGTCACCATTAATGGATGATCATGGCATATACACCTTACCCTCAGGTAACAATAACCATCACACGAATACGCCACCACCACCATCCTATCATCCTTTGCCAGCGATCCGTCGATATGACCCTTATTTTGCACCACAACAACGACCTCGACGACGTCGGGAGATGCAGGCCATCACCAAAATTGTCGAAACTCGTGAATACCCATATCTTGATGGCTACTCGTGGAAGAACAATGGCAACACTGTGCAGAAAAAAACAGGCAACAAGAGCGTCTATTACAAATGCTCAAACAGCATCAGGGTAAGTTTTGATAAACAACCAAAAGATAAGCCGTTTGCGTCTTGCTGATCCAAACAAATAATAATAGGGGTGTCCTGTGAATAAGACTGTAACATGGAAAGGCAATGACGAGTACCTTATTAAATACCGCGGTGAGCATTTACCTGATTGCAGCCGGGTACAGCAACAACAACAACACCATGCAAGCCTACCCATGTAACCAAATTTGCTTGCTATGTATATATATCTATCTCTACACACACACACACGCCATATGCATACACATTACAGCACACCTTTTTGTTGTACTCGTTTGCTAGATTTCTTCTGTTACCCTTGTTTTTCTTTCACATCTTGATTTTTATATGCCCTCCTCCTCCCCCTGCTGACGATTCTATATGCTATAAAACTATAATCTAATTTGCGTCTCATTCAATCATGTGAAAAGAGGAAGTTTTCGGAAGGCTTTAAACATATTTGCCCCGCGGGGCGATTAGGTAATACGGTGTCATTTCATTGGATGGGAATGCTATACGCGTGAGCGGGGGGAAACGCCATTTGAAACCTGTACATGTTTGGCTGTGATGATGGCGGGTTATAGCTGGTACCCCAGCATGGGCCATGTTCGCTGTTGTAGCATAGTGTTGTGTGTGTCTCCATGGCAACGGTTGACTAGTTGTACTTACACATGTCAATACTGTAAAAAGTGTAAATGGTGATGTCACTTTATTCTTTTGTGTGCCTGAATGCATGATGGGACAGGATAAAAAAGTGTGTCCCTGGATTTGTGTAATACGTGTATCATAGGAGAAGAGGGTGATGATGGTGGTGGTGGTGGTGGGGTTCAATGAGTGCGTGTGTATGTGTGTGTGTGGGATCAAATGAGAGAAGGAGGCTTTCATTTTCACGCATTGTCGCACTTGTAACACTTGCAACTCGGACATTCCCTTCCGAGAGAGATCCCTTTTGCTTTAACCTGCATCTTCCTTTTCCTCTCTCTCTTTCTTTCCCTTCTCATCACTCACTCCCATTCCAATGACCTCTCGTGAAGATTACGTCTACTTGGCCAAATTGGCTGAACAAGCTGAACGCTATGAAGGTGCGTGTGTATTGACACTACTACTTCCTTTATCTATATTCACGCGTTGTTGATGCTTGTAGAAATGGTTGAAAACATGAAACACGTCGCTGCCCTTGGCCAAGAGTTATCGGTGGAAGAGCGTAATCTTCTTAGTGTGGCGTACAAAAACTCGATTGGAGCACGCCGTGCATCATGGAGAATTGTATCATCTATCGAGCAAAAGGAAGCATCCAAGGGCAACGACTCCCATGTGGCAATGATCAAAGAATACCGTAGCAAGATTGAAACCGAGCTACGTGGCGTGTGTGATGACATTCTCAACGTGTTGGACACGCATTTGATTGGAAACGCTAGCAATGGTGAAGCCAAGGTGTTTTATCTCAAAATGTAAGTAACAATAACAACGCCCTATTTTGGTGAAACATGGGCTGATTTATGTGTTCGTATAATATAGGAAGGGTGATTACTTGCGTTATTTGGCCGAGTTCCTTACGGATGATCAACGAGCGTCTGCTGCGGATAAATCGGGTGATGCATACGGAGACGCCTTCAATGCAGCTGTCACTGAATTAGCGCCTACACATCCCATTCGTCTTGGACTTGCACTCAACTATTCCGTGTTCCACTATGAGATCAAAAACAACCCTGCAAAGGCATGTCAGTTGGCCAAACAAGCATTTGATGATGCCATTGCCGAACTCGATACCCTTAGTGAAGAAAGCTATAAGGATTCCACCTTGATTATGCAACTGCTAAGAGATAATTTGACATTATGGATGCATGACATGCCTGATGGTAAGTCGACACCCACCTGCTGAGCTCATTCTATGTACACATTTATTGATTCTTTGCTTTGATAGAGGAAAACAAACAACCCGAGGAAGACAAAAAGGAAGAGATATCAGAAGCAGCTTCATAGTGGATAGTGGAAACATAAATTATGGTTTTATTATAACTGTTGAAAACGCAAAAGGAAAAAAAAAGAGGATCGAATCCAAATATTGGGGGAAAGACACAAGTGAATAGTGTAATAACGAAAGAATTGCAATGGCTGGTTAAGCGTGTGTGTGTGTGTGTGTGTAAAGCATGGTTGCTAGGATTGGTATAAGGCGACAGGGAAGCTGTTATATACAATGCAGAGGGTTGAGAATGAATAATTGGTGTGTGTGTGTGTGTGTGATTGTATGTGTGAATGGGAATGTGTATGCTGTCATTCATCATCCATGGATAGCCGAGATCCTTACTTTAGAGCAATGGAAGGCACTGGTTCACAAGGTGTTTGTTGCCATGCAAGTTCGAGCTCCTTTAGTTCACGAGTGAATTCTGGGCTAGGCATGGAAGAGGATTGCCAATCGGTTTCCATGAAGCTGCTTACACGTCCGTGCACACGACCCTCCATTTTCATTAGCTCAGCAATGAATCCAATATTGGGCGACATGTTGGGACGGGCCTTGATGACATGGCGATAAGCTTGTTTGAGCGTCCAGCGTTCAGATGAGACCAAATACGCCAAGATAGCTGTCACTGAGCGTGATTTTCCAGCCTTGCAATGGACGTAGATAGGTTCATGATGGCGTTTTGCATCCTCTAATTTAGATGTGTTAATTGGTGTATATCATTTGACACGTGTTGCATCGATACATACCGATAAAGCAAACAGCTTCCATCATGACCCAATCAATGTTTTTCATTTCAACGGTATCTCTGGCAGAAATCTTTCGATATACAATGGCGTTGCTGTTTCGAATAATGTCATCGCTACATTCTTCAGCCATGTTGAGCACACGTCGAATATGGCGTTGTTGTAATTGTTCTGCATGATCAGCTGTTTCAATTTCAGGGCCAACAAAGAGGAATCCAGGAATGATTTCTGAAATAACAAACTCAAAGTCTGTTTCGGTGCGTGGTGAAGTGATGGGTGGTATCGTAGCTTCTTCATCATCATCCTCCACAACACGTGCCAATGACGAAGCAGTCGACGTCGTAGCGCTTGGTGCCACCAATAGCTGTTGTGGTGCAGGTAGCAAAAAGTCGTTGTTATTATTGTTGCTAGTGACATCATTGTGAATGCTGTTGCTGCTGGATGAAGCTGCTCTTTTGTTGGCTCGACGCGCCAGCGCGTTTGCATTATTTGCACGAGCCGCTTGAGTATCGAGGCTAAAGAGGCTGGTGCGGCGATGCAAATGGGTCTTGTCATGAGTTGAGCCGAGGGTGTAACTCACTGAGCGACGAGGAAATTGTACCGATTTACGATTGCTGTTGTCATCCAAAAGTACAGTGTCGACATCTGGGCTTCCACCATGACCCATATCATCATCATCGTCGTCGCTGCAGCCATCCACCAAGTAGGTATCATGAGCATGGAATCCGTTAAAGCCACCTTGTAGATAGAAAACATGATCATTGTCCATGGCACGCTCGAGAACACCTAAGAGTGTCCATGCCTGCGAGGTGCGTTCCAGCAACATGTCATCATCGTACACCACCCAAGTCAGCTTGCGATTAGGGTTGCTTCCTCGTTTCTCAACATAGCGGGCTCTTCCTTCAGTCGTTGTAATAAAGTTCTCCAAATTAAAGTTCGATACAGTGCCTCGTTGATATCGCTTGATAAGTAAAGATGGTAAATTGACATTGAAAGAGCCATCAATACGACGCCGTTGATATTCAAGAATGTTGCGTACATCAATCAACAACATAGACTCTGAATCCATAGCAAGCATCTCGGCAAGTCGTTCGGCTGAAAGTGGAGTACCACTTTGCTGTTGCTGTTGCTGTTGCCGTCCATGCACACGTGGTTGTAATCGGTTCACAGGCAACTGCTGACTTTGAGACCGTTTGGGTGCCACCTCCACAGTGGTTGTCGCACTAGTGCTTGGTTCATCGGACACCTTCAAACGACCAAGGTCATCATGAATACGTCCATAAGTGAAGGAATGCCGTTTCACTCGCTTCATACGTTGGTCATCCAATGACGCAGTAACTCGATGTTCAGCTGAATGACGCTTGCTAGCAGCACGCGAATGAGTGGTGTCAGGTGCAGGAAATGGGGCACGTGAGCGAGTGGCAGCAGGTGTGGAGATAGTGGGTTTGGGTGTGGGTGACTCCAATACGGGTAATGACGGTGATGAAGGGGTTGGTGGAGTGGTTGTCATCTCGACATTGGATACATCGTAGCTAGCAATGTTTGGCAATGAAGCTGACTGGCGAGGTGGTGCTGGTGGTGGAGTCAAGTCGACACCTGAATCTTGACGTTGCTTCTCGGTGTACCATGCTTTCTTTGTTAGAGCACGAAATAAAGCAGCAGCTAAATTGCTTGGCTTTGCTGGAAGAGGTCTGACGGCATCATCAGGGCGCTTGGCTTTGCGGTAGCGGTCAAACAGCATAAGAAAGGAATGGCAGGGGTGGTGGTGATGATGATGGAGATGATGATGAAAAAGAAAATGAAAGAGATGACTGACAAAATGCAGTACAAGAGGTGTTTGGGTGGTGGTGGTTGTTTGAAGAAGAAAGAAAGCGGAAAGAACAAGAAAAAAAGGACGAGGCTGTTTTTGGATGCATGCTTGTCTTGACCAAATTTTAGAGCGGGTGTTGTGTAAACAATTGGGCGCGCACATCATCACTCTCATTCAAACACGCACACCCACGCCCGCTTTAATGAACGCATTGATTATTATTATATTCTTGGAATCCGCTCTTTTGATGTAACCACTTTGCTTTATACCATACACACACACACACGCGCGCGCTCTATACATAAAACACCTAAAGACTTGCAAGCATGGATACGCTTTATAGGCCATACACATGGATGTAAACACACACATTGATACTCATCATGTCAAGCATGGTTGGAACATTTATGGGTGCAGTGACAAAGGAGATCCTTTGTGTGCGTGTGTACAAGTTTCCTCGGTACTAAATATACCACAGAGGTTATATTGGTCGACCAATCGTCTTTGTTTGTGCAACATTCCATTTCATTTCCAAAGGATGATCCCCGCTCTCTTGTTGAGCCCTGACATGTTCACACTTGCCCTTCGAGATACTCTACTCTTTTCTCTCGTTTCTACCCTTTCGCTAACTCACGCACTGTGCACATGTACCACAGCCACACTATGACGACCACAGCCTCTCTCTCTCTCTCTCTTTTAACAGAAAATTAAGCACCCGATTGCCATGTGTTGTTGATGATCCTTTTACGTTTTGGCTGTGTTCGTTGTTATCGTTGCTATGGCTTATTACGCTGTTGCTATGGCATTGTTTTCCCTAATTGGGCTGGTGTCATATGACCCGAGCATTTCATTGTATACATCTCCTGGGATACCTTGCCAGTACAATGAAGCACAGACACCTGTTTCGATTGTCTTTGGCTGAACCCCCTTTTATAGCAATGGTGCACCCATTGATCGACATTCCATGTCGGGTAATGTAAATGTTAGGCAGCCTGATATCATAGCAACTACCCATTATCCATCCAATCCTATCATTGTTATAGTACGAGTATCAGCAACAACATCTCATTATAGAAATGTTTTGCTAGCCGATAACCCATGCCTGTTTCACCCCCCCTTTGGCCAACACCTATCAATGCACAAATTCCTAACACTAACCCATCGTGAATAGTAGCATTCAAGCACCCTGACAACATATCAATTACTCGAAGATGGGTTTATTCTTTACAGTGTAATAGCATTGGTGGGGAGGGGGATATATGTAAATAATACGAAATGATGCATGAGATCACGTAAAGTGGTGGTAGAGGATGAATACAAAAAGATGAGGGATATATAGGTGACAAGAATACAAGTAAGGGAGAAGGGTACAAATAAACAAATGCAATTCTTAGGCCTTTAGGGTTGCAGGGAAAGTAGGCGAGTCAACGCAATGTTTCTTGGAGATAGCCATCTTCATAGCAAGTTGCTCTTGACGATCCATGATAAAGTCAAGTGCAAAACCTGTACACCACAATGCAAAGGAAACGGCGATACCAATGTAAAAGAAGGTACCTGTAGTCAAGATGTAGGGGGTTGCAAATGTGCTGGCACCATGGCCATGACCACCACCACTTTGTTTCGAGGAAGAGGAAGAGGAAGAGGAGGAAGATGCTTCTTGGCCTTGACCACTTTGTGTTGCGGTAGCAGTTGTTGATGGGGTAGTAGCAGATGCGTGTTCTTGACGTGCAACCAAGCCTATGCTTTCATCTGTAGACTGTTGATAGACACATGTGAGTGAACCAAACAAGAAAAAGCTTCTTTCATATTAGATACTTACAGGTATACTGGCAGCAAAAGAGAGGCTGATGAATGCAAATAGTAAAAAGGTGATAGTCAAAAGGCGCATGGTATAAAAGATGTACGTAAATGTGATGAAGGTAATTGACAAGCGCTTGACGCGGTGGATAGCCTAGCTTATTTATTTGTTTTGGAGGATCTGATTATCGCTAGCAGGTTGACACTCTTCAAGTAATACAAAGAGGATACCGAGGATCTGTGTTTCCGGGTCCTTGAAAAATTTGCCCAAGAATGGAAATCTGCTCTTTGCTCTATCCCGAAATTATGATCGCATCATCGAGAACAACGGTGGATGTGCGTGGATCTTTTGATCAGATGGTACCACAAAGGTTTTGCACAACATGTTTAAATGTCAGGTCGCGGATCATCCATCCTTGAAAAAGGGAAAAAAAGTTATCAGATCCGCTATCGAGCGGGGCCGTGGCGGGAAAGAAAACAAAACCAGCAATCAACATCTGATAATCCAACTACCAAATCTTCGTATAAGAATGATGGGTGTTTTTTTGGTATAATATATATAAATATACGACGAGTGAAAACAACGAGAAATAACGAAAATATGGAATGGGAAGGAGTTGGCATGTAGAGATGCAATGTCCATTTTTTTGTTGAAGGTGGTGGTCGTATTGTGTGTGTGTGTTTTTATACAAACGGGTTAGCTGCAAGAACGCGAATCAAGGGGGGACTTCTGTCAGGATCGCTGGTGATGACCACACGAATGTAATCAAAGGGTCGGATAACTTGACGTGATTCATCTGGTATTGTACATTCTTGCTGACTTGTCCAAGGATTCTCGCCTTCGACAACACGAAGCGACATGGATCGAGGACGTCGTTTGAAAGGTTGTTCAGCTGATGGAGGTGACGACACTGATTTGATCGACAATTCGTGCACGGCATCACTCGCTAGATGATCAGCTGTGGTGGATGGTGGTGCTGAAATGGTGGGTGATAATTGCACATCCTCTTCCTCTTCTTCCTCCAATTCAGCCATAGCATCCGCTTGCTCTGCCATGGTATCGGCTGTTGCTACACCTGTTTTCCAGAATAGATGAAGCACACCATCAGCGGGACTATATTTATGCGTCTCCAGGGGTAGATTGATCACATGGATACGGCGTTCAAGATCCATATCAGGCACCATCACATCAAAGGCTTGGTCTTGCACACCCACCACGATAGCTTCATGTGTGGTTGCTGTCGATCCCAACTTGATAAGGTATCGCGACATAAACAAGTGCTGTGATTGCTCACGTGCATTCTCGGCAGCCAATCCTTTCACATTGCAATGGCGTGCAATCTTTTGAATGATCTCACTCTCCAAATAGAAGCGTTTATCTACCCTATAAATTAGTTACCACTCTATTGGATCATGCTGAAATCGATAATTACCTCCAGCCAACACGGCTTCCAATTGGCGGTGCACAATGAGATCTGCATAGCAACGTGTTGGTGACGTGAATTGCGTATACAAAGGTGCATTGAGGTTGTAATGATAATAGCGATTGATATCAAATTTGCCGGTGCAAAAGAATTTGGAAGGATACATGGTCTTGAGTGCTAAGGTCGTGATAACGGTTTTAGCGGCTTCGTTCTCGATCCCATCCACGGTCTGCTGCAAATTTTGTGCTGTTGATGGATCAATCGTGTATCCAAGTCCACGAAGGTAACGAGCAAGCTCACGCTATAGACACAAAAGTAAGCACTCATAATAAAAGAAAAGAGAATTGATATACACGTACCAGTTTACGTTCATTAGGTGGTGCCTGGGACTGCAATAAAGCATGATCAGGGAAATGGCTTGATATCTTTTGGGCAACGCCTGTATTGACCAAGATTTTGAATTCATCCATGATATCTTCAGCGGGGAAGCGTGTTGCAAGTGAGATCTTTTTGGGACTTCCATCTTGATTGATATCGATGTTGATCTTTTGTTTGGAAAGGAAAAGCGCACCATCACGACGACGTGCTTGCTTTAGGCTTTGCGACAGCGAATAAAGCATGTTGATGTCATCTTCCCATTCTGGCTTCTCATGATCTCCAATTGAAATATGGTCCGGTATACCATTGCCATCCAAGATATCTTGTAATTCGCTCGTAGTAAGAACACCATGTGATCTACAAACATAGGTGAATATCCATGTAATCTAAAACGGATTGCCAATTACATACTCAATCACGGTACGCCCGTACCAGATATCAAGCACCTTGCCAGATTGATCAAGCTTCCATGAAACCGAAAATGCCAATCTACAGCCATTCATCCATTGAGTATCACAACTTTTTGAGTAGCATGCTATAAAAGAAACTTACCTTGCACTACGAGGTACAAAGTTGACGCATTCATGTAATAGTTGTTCAGGCCATAGAGGAGCACTTTCATAAAGGTACAAGGCAGCTGCACGTGCTTTGGCTTCTTTGTCAAGGGGAGAATGGGGCTTGACGAACACCGAGAGATCAGCCACATGGAAGCCCACTTCATAGAGATTATCGTTCTTGCGTTGGATTGATAAAGCATTATCAAGAGCTATAATAAAAGCATGATGAATGCGTGCATATAGAATAAACAAAGTGAATCAATGATCTTTTTACCTCCATCACCAGCGATAGTGATGCTGCGAATGGCCCGGAGGTCAAGACGAGAATGGATCATGTCGTCTGTCAAAGACCAAGGAGTTGGTGGCAGGGAGCGCATGATAGGATCCGAAAATGGCTCAAAGGAGAAATTGTTATCGGCCAAGATAGCACGGGATTGGACGATGAGATCGGTTACATGACCCAACTCGCTTTCAAGAACACCAAATGGATGCAATGAAGTGATAGGCCAACGCTTGATAGAGCCCTATAAACCATAACAACATATACGTGAGTTGATATTCAGCCAGGAGAACAAGGAAGAAGGGGGTAAAAGTGACAAGTCAGGGGTGGGGTGGGGGATAGATGTTGAGAAAAAGAAAACTCACCAAAAATAGCCTGTTCTCAAATTGTTGACTACATTCAAGGAAGCCCTGAGGTGCTTGTTCAACAGGGATAGCAATAAGTGGCACACGCTTATCCGTGGGTTTGAACCATACAATGCGGGGTGATGCATCACTGCGTACGGAATGGGAATCATCATCATCGTTGTTATCGTTTCTGTTGTTGGAGCGCTTGTTGCTAGGACGAGTGAGACCAAGGGTACCAGAAAAGACTTGAGTTTGGGGACGTTCAAGAATGGCCACGACAACGCCGCAATATTTTGGTTTGACCTTGTCAACATCTTCTTCACCACCAAACATGATCTCCTTTTCATCCTCCTCATCCGGTTTACGCACGATGGGTTGACCATTGTTACGCATGACCTTGGCTTGCTCCTTTTCCTGCTTCTCACGGATCACCTTTTCAACTTCCACAAGCTTGATTGCCACCACATCGCCTTCCAATGCTCGATTACGATCACGGGATCCACAAATATAAATATCGGCATTCAACTCCTCACAAAAGACATAGGCATCGGAACGATTGCGCTTGTTGACTCGTAGGATGCCGCTCACTAATTGATGCTTCTTCAGCAATGGGACAAGTGCTGAGAATGGGAGATGGGCCACGAATAATGCACGGCGTTGTTGTTGCTGTGGCAATTGTTGATCCTCACGAGGGAATGTCACATTGGTAGGTGTAAAGGGAACCCAAGCACATGATGATCGATTGGATGTAGGGCTACGAGCAGAGACCATGGATGCATTGGCTAATCATCATCCTTGTAATTTAGTACCTTATTCATATCCACACATACATACATGCTACTTACAAGCTCGCCAATCAACACCATAATTATGTGATGAACGTCGATTGCTTCTTGTAATATCCAATGTCAATCCACCGGCTTTGCCAGCAGGAGGTGGTGGTGCAGGAGGTGGTGCTGCTGCTGTTGCTGCTGTTGCTCTACGGTAATCAAGGCTGTACTCATCGTCATAATGGGAAGGCGACCATTGCAATGAAGTGCGTTTGTTTTGGTGACCGTAATTGCTAAGCGATCGACGTTGCTGAGAGTCGTAATGTTCCACGTCTGAAGAATGACGGTAATAAGAAGGGCGAGTGCTGGGTTCGGAGAGACGACGATTGTACTTTTGTTGCTTTTGCAGAGCAAAGAGCGCTTGTTGATGTTGCTGCTGTTGTGGATCCTGATACAAATCATCGGCTTTATAGCGACGTCGATCATACCCTTCTGTCAAAACAAGTGATTGCTGCTGCTGTTGCGTAGGGCGTCCACGATTAGGATAGGCACCTGTCAATTTGGCTTCTGCTTCTGCAAGGACATCGGCTCTTGAATAAGCAGCAGCTGCTGCATCATCGTCATCATCTGGATCTTGAGAATCCATTTGTCCCATAGATCCCATAGGAAAGTTATTAAATAAAGCAGAGGATCGATGTTTACGTTGCAATGAAATTGGATCATCCAAGCGTTTTCCATATCTACCACCAGCAGTGCCATCTCCTTCTTCACTCACAGTATGCAAAGCACTCCGATGTTGATGAAGTGAAGGACGCACTGTAAACGTTGCCGACTTGCTACGTGGATGAGAGGATGGGTCCTCATTGAATGCATTGGAAAGCTCAAGAGCTGAGTGGCGCTTGTCATCCGACCAGCATTTCCTTGCCGATGACTGGTTGGATGGAAAGAAAAATAAGGGGCACATGATGACAAAGGGAGTAAGTAAATAAGCCAAAGCTAAGTGTGCACACACACACACACACAGCCGCCATCGATTTTTTTTACCTTTGGCTCCTGAGGCGGGTCAAAAAGACCACGAGTGGACTCTGGAGCTGTTTGACCTTCCATATCCAAGATATCCATGATGTTGTATAACTGAAAGAAAGACTAGAATGCCACGAACGAAAGGAAGGGAACGCTGACAATAATTGTAGGAAGATTGTGGAGTTGCAGGTGGCAAAATAGAACTGAAAGAGAGGAACAAGAACGCACCGAGACGAGTTCTTTTCAAAAGGAAAAGACAGGCTATAAAAAGAGAAAGAAAAGAAAGAGAGAGAAGGTGACTTGTACAGGGATTATGCATGGTCTTATACGCTAAGGGGCGTACGTAGAGTGGTGATACGTGTATATATATACGTGTGTGCGTGTGTGTGTGTGTGTGTGTGTGTGTGCGCTAAAGCATTTGCAATAGAAAAAGGAGCGGGCAGGTTCAACCGTTTCATTCAACCACCCCTTTTTCTCAATCATCATCATTGCGCGTCTCTCAAACATCTCGCCGTATAATGTTGGCTTACATGATAGCTATAGAACATGTCGTGCGCATATACCAAGTTGCTATGGTGATAGATACAGTGACGACGTTGAATGTGTTTCAGATTTCAAATTTAGGCAACCCATCTCCATTGGATTCATTTGCCTTGTCAACATGATCTTTGCCTTGTTGTTCGTGTAACCTAGCTATGTCATCCCTTGTTTCCATAACGATCACCATGATGTTGGTACTGCCACTCTGCCATTCAATATGTATACTCATGCAAGCAATGACACGAAAAAAAAGAACCTATAGAAATCAACTGACCTTCCCAGGCTAATGCAAGAGCATCATCACACCGGTCTTTTGTAACGTTCTTAGGGCACACCATGGACCTATTGTACACGACATGATAAACAATTATCGGCTGTTTAGCATCAGGAGAACGCCTTTATCAGCTTTTTGTCCAACAATTCCGTTGCAATCAAAGCGTTGCTTCTTACACAGCCTATGCTGCACACAAATCTAGCCCATAATGCACGTACATGTGTGTGTATGTTTATCCTCTGTTATACGAACATTGTGCAGAAATACAAAAACCCTATGCATATCATATATACAAATCTGATCATTGTAGCGGTTGATATAGTACACGAGAAGCGACAACGCCCTTTTTATTAGCATGCATACGTATACGCGCTAAATCTCATCTCGGAGGCATTGACAGGGGTTGCCACAAGATAACCACCCTTCATGCCACGGGATATAGTTTTCCTCCATGTCGCTGCTGTTTCATTATTAGAGATAGTAGGCAAGGCATAGTGTACCAATCTTCCAGGTGCTACTACTTGTATCATGGCAACAATGTATCATGGCAACAATGGATCACGTGCAATCATCAACCGAGCCTATTGGAAGCATCCCCTTGAATGTGGCCCAATGCTTACATGACACAAGGCTTTATTCTGTTACTGATGAAAGAGTTGGGTATTTTAAAAGATAGATGCAACAGATATTTTACTCATGGTTACAAGAGATGTGTACTTGTATATGTAGAAAGGAAGTAAAAGGGAAAAAGGAAGGCACCATGATGGTGCGTTGTAGATGTATGTGGTATGGATTACTTGATACATGGAATATGGCATGCCAGAATTAAAAAACAGGAGATAGGTGACGCCATCATATTAAGCAATGAGATAAAGAGCGCCAAAGGCCATTGCCGTCACAATAGCTGTTGTACCAGCCATGTGTACAGCAGCAGCACCTTCTTCACCAGCTTGAGATCCATCCGATGGTGAGCTGGATCCACCACTTGCGGAAGGAACGGCACCAGAAGATGAACCAGATGCAGCAGGTGACGTAGCATTGCCTTCCTTATAGGATGGTTGACCAACACAAGCGCCTACAGTGGTCACCTTGTATGCGTCCTACATAAAAAAAGAAGCGTCTCAGTAAAAAATGATGGCGCTTTATAGTGTTGCTTGATTTACCTGGAGCGTAGGAAGAATTCGGATAGCAGCATCAACCGTTTGCTTGTAAAGATCGTGCTCAAGTGAGATACCACCTTGGGTAGTGTTTTGCTTGGCCCATTCTGTGGCATTGCCATCAATCCATTGTGGGTTAAAACCTTGTGATTCTTGAATCTAAGGGGATAGAATTGTAAGCACGATGCAGGGGCTACTGAAAAACATGCAAGATATACATACCATCCAATCGTCAGTGTCGTGATTCCAGATTACAGCTATAATACCATTATCATTAGTTTTTCATTGATGCACGATCATTGTGGATGATAATGTTGTACTTACGAACGAAGCCGAGAGCCTTGGCAATACCACGTACACGGTCGTCAATGTCGCCATAAGGCTATAAAGTGATGCGAATTAGAGTTTGCTTGTGCTTCATCTCTTGTCATCTAAAAAGACTTACAGGGCGGAAGAAACGGGGCGACACACCGGTCACCTCTTTGATGGCCAATTCAGTGTACTTTAGCTCGGCAACGATTTGCTCCGTTGTAAGGGTTGTCAAGTAGGAATGAGACCTGTTGTAGCCAATGTTAAGAAATTGAAATCATTTTGGTTATCGTATGATTGATTTACCATGTATGAATGGCCAATTCATGGCCTTCATTATGGATGCGCTCAACGTATTTGGGGAATTTTAGCACTTGTCCACCGATCATAAAGAAAGTAGCCTTCTGATTACTCTTTTGGAGGAAATCATACAAGGGTGGGCTGAACTCAGTAGGGCCATCATCATAGGTGATACCCCATTGACCAGTGGGACAAGCAGTGATATCATCCTCTCTTGTACAGCCCGTGAAAGTCCAATCGCAGAAGGGATCACCATTACCAGATTGTTGAGGACCTAGTAGGATACATGTAAGCATAGGGATTATAGCACCAGCATTATGTAACGTACCATTTTCACCATTGCTCTTTTGCACAGGTGCATCAGTGATGTTAGCGTTCTTTAGCAATTCCATCCATTCAGGTTTGGGAGTGGGCACACTGCCATCTGTGGGATAGGTTTCTTTGAATTGGAATCCACCACCACCACTAGGGGCAGCAGCAGATGCGGATGCTGAAGGTGCTGGTGCGTCTGCAGAGGCTGATGATGATGATGATTCTTGTTGAGCGTTTGCCAATGAAAGTGCCAAGGTGGCAATCAAGCACAATTTGGTGAATACCGTCATTGAGTATGGATATGAAAAGGGGAGTGAAAAAAAAGAGAGAGAAATCAATGAAATGTTGATGGATCAGTTGCTTTGCATCTTTTTTATATGCCCAAGTCAGGTCAACGGGACATCGTGATGCGGGGCAACGCCATTACACGCGCGCGCTTCTGCGCCCGCTCAATACGTATATCCTCTCAAAAGAGCCGAGAGGTAATACAGGGTGTGAAATCCAGGAACTAGCAGTATTTTTGCCCATCTTTGGTTTAGCCAACTTTGATACCAGGCTTATTTTACCCCATTTAAATACAAGGACCAACCCAATCTCGGCAGCTTTTCGCCGTGTAGTTGCAACTATTCATAACATCCTGCGCCCGCTTGTCACCAAAAAAAGATATCAGTAGTAGTTGAAATGTTGTGTCATGAGCCTATAGATATTCCTGGATCTTTATCCAAGCTTGGCGACGATCCAAAGTAGATGTATCGAGTGCCACATTTTGTATGATTCCATCTGTTGTATACATAGTCGTGGAATTGGGAAAAAAACAGGGATCTCCCGCTTGCATGTTCCTTTTGCCCTCTACTCTCTCTCTCTTCCTTCTTGTTTTTACCCCCTTTTCTCCCCTCACTCCTTGCATGTAATCACCGTTTATCCTTTCATCACCCCTCCTTGAATGTTCCAACATGTAGTGTGTATCAGAGTTATCCAACAAAGTTCCCCTTTTTTTCCGCCCCGGATGGCAGATCATGCAGCTTGCTTCCTCGCAACATATCCAAAAATAGCATGTGTAACTTGACCGACACCTTTTGCCACCTTGGGTGCCACCCTTCTTTTTTTTCATCAGCCAACTCTGTAATTCTTCCTTCCTTCATCAAATGGCGTGGTCATTGTTACACATCGGAAGCTCATCTCCAGGAAGATATACATAACTCACAATGATGGGCTGTGTTGATTGTGCCCGCAAACACAATGTCCGACGACAATGAGTGCTATGATTATCATTCAAAACAATGGTGATCATCATCATTTCCATGGCCATTGTTACTAAAGGAACAATGACATGCTTTCATTTATTTGATACAAATGGCAATGAAACAATGACGAGTACGACATGTGGATGGTATTCTTGTCGTTAGTCATATCATAACGACATAAGCTACGGTATACCCAAAATTTAATAATGGCGGCCTGCATAGTTTTAAAGGGGTCAAAACAACGACAACGGATTAATCAATAAGGACATATGGATCTCATGGCATCCATTGTTGTTGTAATCGTTTTCAATATTCGATTACTGAAAATGGGTTGGATGAGTGTATGTGCGCGTTGTTGTTAGTGTATTAAGGTGTTAATCGTTATGGTGTGCTGCGTGTTTGACATGATGGCAGGATCACTGTAACTCTAGCACGTGGTCACTTTGCACCACGTACAAGTGATGTTGTCAGTGATAGTCGTTGAGCACGCTTATGAATGTGGGGTATACAACAACCATGCAATCCTCTTATTTCAAAAATGAATGTGGTTGAACATTGATCTGCAGTATATAGAAGAAAGTTTATTTTGTAGTATTATCAGGTTCCTGCCTGGAGGTGGATAGCTTATATATATCGGCGAGCAATCGTATAGCAATGACCATTGTATTGCAGAGTCATTTGTGACGTATCGATGAAGATGGGTTGACCAGCAAAGGATGGGCTGTTTCTAATCCACGAGCTAGCGTTTCGACTCCATAAAACTTCGACGGCATCTTGTGTGTAGCTGTCGAGAGGCACCCAAGCAGAACCTGCATTATAGACCCATTGAAGTACCATGATTGGTTGATATGCATCCTCTTGTTGATCGTAAGATAGAATGATATACTAACAAATGGGATTATTCCACGTCGTTGGTTCCATCATTTTATACCTGTTCATTGGGAATAATAAGGCCGAAGATCAGCTTCAATGCTAAGCCTGATGTGTGTGTGTGCGTGTGGATGTGTGTGATTGTGGATGATGCGAGAGTACAATGAGTGAGGAGGCTCGTGTGTGTTACATTGAATAATAGCATAATGACATAACGCGGCTTAGTCAAGGTGGCGCCGTGTAATCCATACATGCTGATGTTGCAGATAGAAGTTTAAATAATGTCAAAGTAGATCATTGGTTATCATAGTCTCATCTTTTAATCCAACATGCTTTATGTAATAAGAGGTATGCATTCACTAATAAAGCTAGCTAGCTATTCTATGCGCCATGACACAATGATGGATTGGAAAGAGCGAGAGAATGAAATCGGAAGTGCAGGAGCGTGGGCCATCTTTAACTCCTTTGTTCAAAGCCACTCCAGCTTCGATTCAGATCTATCACTCAATGGCAGACGATTACGACATCCAACAGCACCTCGATCTTGTTTCCTCGTGGTCGAACGATCCAACAGCCTACTTGTCGCGTTACTATACACTGCACTTTCAATGGGATAAGGAAGCAGACGCCAATCGAGAACAGGCCATTTATGTACGACAGGCACCCAACAAGGTGTGCATTCTCGGCGTGACCAGTGGACATGCAGCATTGAAGAAAGACGACGTTCAAGTGATACCCAAATTGGAAGCAGGCGCCAATGTCAAACCCGAGACGGTGCTCTGTGATATCGTGGCGGGCGACACAACGTACGCGGTCCGAGCGCATATGCGGGGGAAGCTTCTTGAATACAATCCTCGCATGACAACGGCTTTGATCCAAGGAAAGGCGATGACCGAAGGATATCTTGCAATCATTTTACCTTTCCATGAAGACCCATCAGTGCAGCTGAAAGAATTTGTTAGTCAAGAAGACTTCCGTGCAGTATAAAAGAGAGATGATTATCACACAACCATGTTACGCAGTTACGATCATCTGACGCCATTTGTGCCGGGACACATGATGACCATCAGTTCCGTTCCCTTCTTTACATCTTTTACTTTTCATTCTCGTCCTTTTTCCTTCTTTTTCTTTTTCCCCTCCCTCTTGATGAACCATGGGCCAAACTGTTTCTACTGCTGTTCCTTATAAATCGAACGTCTTTTACGACTATGAAGACTTTTCAAGCCGCTTTTCCAAGTTGACAGTTTCAACATTGACAATTCCTATGGTTATCATCGCCTTTCCGGTTTTGAATGCTTACATATTCACTGAAGACGAGTTGACAGGCGTCAAGCTTATGGATGGGATGATTGGAGGATTACTTGGTATCGTTGGATGTGAGTATCCATTTTGATTTGTGTGTGGCAAGAGAGGGATGACCCACATGCAATCGTCTGTGCACGCGCTCATACACGCGACCTACCTATGGTTAACATGTGAAATTATTATAGGGCCTCTCTCTCCTTTTTACGCATGCTGGGGTCTCTTTCAAGTCCTTTTCAGAGATGAACCACCAGAACCAGTAGCCATTGACCAGGAACTCAAGGATATTGCAAAGCGAGAAATTGGACTCAATTGTGAACGCTTTTACAACGTTGGCGTGGTTGGTGCAGCAGGTACCGGGAAAGTGAGTTTGTGAATCAATGGAAGGTGATGGATGTGTATTGATTACGTGCTGTGTAGAGCTCCTTGATCAATGGTATTCTTGGATATCAAGATAGTGATCCACGAGCTGCACCCACAGGAGAAACAGAATCCACCAGCAAACCCAAAGGATATCGACATCCCGATTTACGGACCATGATTGTATGGGATATGCCAGGAGCTGGCACCGAGAGCCATCCAAGCGAGACCTATTTCAATGACAAGTTTCTCTACGCATTTGATACGCTCATCATTGTAATTGCCGACAGGTATGTTGTGTTTGTAACCTTACTACTTGTTTGTTTATCCCAAATATTGACTTTTTATCAGGATGTTGCAAATTGACATCGACATTGCCATGGCGGCGCAAAAACGGAGAATACCGTTTATGTTTGTCAGGAATAAAGCGGATCAAGTAAGTGGGATGGGGGATGATTGTTATGGGCAACAAGGATCATGGGCTGATATGGGAGCTTAGGCGGTAGAAGCCAAGATGAGGAGATATCGCCGGGAGCATTCGAGTACCCCTGATACCATTGTCAATCAAAATGAAGCTGAAAAAGTGAGAGCATTCAAGGAAGATATCCGCATCTGGGGAAAGGCTGTGGGTGAACTCGTTGAGGAGGTGAGTTGGTATGACAGGTCTATAAAAGAGTCTTTATTCATCAAAGGTAACTAGGTGAAACACACTATTTGTAAACATCTAAGGGCTAACCGGATAAGCAAGCGGAGGCTTTTCATCATCTCGTCATGGGCTCTACAAGACTATGTGAAGATGCTCACCGAACACAGCATGGAAAAAGATAAGCTAAGGTTAATCCATGAAGAACGATTCCTGCGTCAATTGGTCGAAGGCTTGCTGTATAAGCGGAGGCGTACAGAGAAACATCGAAAGAAGCTGTCAGAACAAATGAAGAGGCGCCCAAAAATCACACCCATTCAAGGTCAAGCAGAAGCAAAGGTGCTGAATCAAGCAAGAATCTCGTAAGTATCGATGAAGTTATGGTACGTTGCAGGTGATGGGTGCTAATTTTGCATTTGCATGTTAGGAGCGAATTGATCAATACTCGTCAACAGAGCACATAACCTCATCATCCATCTTTTTTGTTATCATCCAATCCACATAAACTTTCATGAAAATAAAGCCGCGTTGATCCGTATGAATGATTATGGTATGGTACCACACACCTGTTATATAGTAATTTGTCTTTTGTACCTAGCATTTGGAATGGGCATGTAAATCGATGAATGGTTTTAATAAATGCTGGAATCTACATACAAAGATAGTCAACTTTGAACAATGACACCCAACAATACTGCCTGTTACAGAAGCTTGGTTAATTGCAACCTTAACCATTATGTTCATGAAGGAGTGAACTCTGATACAATGTGACACGGGGACATAAACTTAACAATGCTTACCTATAGCACTTTTCAACATACCCTACTATCGTAAGCGCTCTCTAGTCAGCCATATCATTTTTCTATAAACAATGAGAAGAGGCTTTGAAGACAAACATCATCACTACTCTCATACACTTTCACAAAAGATATTTCCGGATCCATTGATCATTTTCGGCTTATTGAACATGCCATGTTTAACTCGAAAAGATTACAAAGGGCAATCATAGGCGGACCTTACTATGGCCAGGCAGGGACAGGGTTCATTATGCACTCTCCGCCAATAGGATCCGACGCTTCAGGAACAGCCCTCTCGCTTGCGGCATATACACGCCCCTCTGCATCTTTGGGTCTATTATAGTCATACTACTTGACAATGAACAAAGACCTCTTTTCATATAGCATCACACTTACATCATAGGTAAAACATAAAGGTGCCCGTATCTCTAAACTTTACAATCAAACGTGGGGTCTTTAATAGAACAAAGCTGCTCGGCGGGGTGAAAGCGATCTTGTGTCAAACTATGAAGTCGATCGTGGCCGATCCCAGATTCACCCAATGTCGCCACCAGCCAAAGTGGATCGACCTCTTGAATTTTTTTTGACGACGACGAAAATATTTTTTGACTGGTAGCGACATTGGGTGAATCTGGGATCGGCCACGATAGACTTCATAGTTTGACACAAGATCGCTTTCACCCCGCCGAGCAGCTTTGTTCTATTAAAGACCCCACGTTTGATTGTAAAGTTTAGAGATACGGGCACCTTTATGTTTTACCTATGATGTAAGCGTGATGCTATATGAAAAGAGGTCTTTGTTCATTGTCAAGTAGCTGGACCCTGGCAGAGCAAAAGATGCAGAAGGACCCTTGGGTAACTCAGCTAAAAAGTCAGGACTTCTTGTGGACAATGCATGAAAGGTACGCAACCCTCGCTTTTATGTCAAGTACATTGGCAGCTAATAGCCACTTCGAAAGTATTCCCAACTTTTGTGCATTCTATTGTAGGTGGACGATGCTCCTGCTCTAGACATTCATTTCCATGATTAAAGTAGGTTGATCCGAATGGATTTGGTTGAGTTACGCTCCAACAAGATTACATCGTTGTTTTATCGAGCGTGCTTTTATACCCAGAGTGATGTAATCTCTCTTTGGCTGTAGCTCTGTAACAATCAGCTCGGATCAACCTACTTAATCATGAAATGAATGTTCTTGAGCAGGGGCATCGTTCCTCATGCAGTGGATCTCGCAACAATGATGATTGGATAAAAGTGGCCGTTAGCTAGCAGTACATGCCTGTTCCTAGATGATCCATAAAGTAATTATACATTGACCCTTTCATTCATGCAAACGTAGCTGTGTTACACAACACGACCCTCTGCATCTTTTGCTCTATTATAGTCATACTACTTTACATTAAACAAAGACCACTCTTCATAGAGCATCACGCTTACAAACATAAAGGTGCCTGTATCTCCAAACTTTACAATGAAACGTGGGGTTTTTATTAGAGCAATGGGCTCGGCTTGGCCAACAGCACCTTGTGTGAAAGTTTCGCGCTCAATATCGCAACCAGCCCAAAAAATATTTTTTGGTCATCGAAAAAAATTCAAGAGGTCGACTCGTTTCACTTTGGCTGGTGGCGACATTGCGAAATCTGGGATTGGCAAGCTTGATCGTGAAACTTTCACCCAAGGTGCAGTTGGCCGAGCCGAGCACATTGCTCCAATAAAAACCCCACGTTTCATTGTAAAGTTTGGAGATACAGGCACCTTTATGTTTGTAAGCGTGATGCTATATGAAGAGTGGTCTTTGTTCATTGTCAAGTAGCTAGACCCTGACAGAGCAAAAGATGCAGAGGGCGTGTTTGTGGAACTTGAGTCATTCAGCACAGGCGATGCATGATTCTTGTACACTATTTAGGAATAGTTCAAAATGCCAGCTAATAACCTTAGTCCTCCCATTCTCCATTGTTGTCCAATCCAATGCATACGAACGATCGTCCTGCTCCAAATCAGCATGTCCATCATTCAACTTTCTTGATCCGATGAGATTTGACTGAAAAACGCTCAAACACAGAAACATCATCCAATATCAGAAGAATCAAATTGGTAAGTTATTTGTAAACTGCCACTTGATAGCCCATTCCTTCCAATCATCGTTGTTGCCCCATCCAATGAATGTGAGCAGTGTCCTGCTTCAGCTCATCATCTCCATCCTTCAACTTCCTTGATCCGAGCTGATTTGACTGAAACCCGCTCATCCAATGGAGTATTATCCAACTCGAGAAAAATCACTTTGATTAATGATCCGTAAAATGGCAGCCGATAGCCAATTCATCCCAATCACCTTTTTTACCCAACCCAACCCAATGCATGTGAACGATTGTCCTGCTCTAGCCCATCATCTCCATCCTTCAACTTTCATGATCCGAACGGATTTGACTGAAGGAACAACACTTAACCATTCAACCATTCAACATCAGTTCAACCTACTTAATTTCCAGCTCTTCCACTCCCACCTTGTTTTCTCGTGTTCGTTCACTATACACAATCGCTAATAGATGAAGAAGGCATCATGTTCTTTTACGTTTGTCGAGGGGGTTACACGTTGGTTGTACAATTTTAGAAGCTTGGCTGCAAAAACGAATCGATGCGCACACACATAATAGACGCCAATCACCCTCACAGCAAGTCATGAGGTGCTTGTTCGAGGACTAATACTCGTATTGTTGTTATCGACCCAAGTGTAAAGGGTATTGTTAAGGTACACACCTGTAACAGGCGGGGCGGCGTAGAGGGCACAAACCAGGAACAATGAAAGGAACGACCTTCTCCCACTCCCGCTTCACAACGATGCAAGGTAAGACCAACTCCATTTACACTCTCCACACCACTAACTTCTGGCATTGCCAACAATGCACACCGTCAATGGGTGAACAGGTGGTCAATGGCGACACATTTAGCTACAACAAGCACGTGCGCGATCTACCCATGACACAAGCTTCCATTCCAATTCAACATGTAAGTTCAATCGCTGCAATTCCTTTTATTGTTCAATTCGAACATTGTGGTACTAAAGTTCGTGTGTAGGTTGGTCTTGTCTTCTCTATATAAGACCCAATGAGGTGTCGTGTGCATTCCTTCCCGAGTTGTCCACAATGAGAGTTCTCAAGACGTCTTTACATTGCCTCTTTTGGGTATGCTGACAACAAAAGCGTGTGGTTTGGTTTTACTTGTTATCTCACATTGCGTTTATGGTAGGTTGAACATGTTGGATGATGGTACCTCTGGCAGCAACAAGATACGGATCTCAAAGCAAGAATGCTGTATGGTTGGCTCAATGGTATGCGTGGTATTGGATCTACAAAGCGAAACCTGTTAATTAACGAGCCGTACAGTGAAACAGCAGCAAGACAATATGGATGAAATGGAGATACGGCTTTATTTGAGGCAATGATGCTATTGAGGAATACCACAAGGTAAAGTGCCCATTATGATGGGATTGGTTGGATTCAAGTGGACTTACCAAACACCATACAGTGGCAGAGCCTCTTTCGGCGATACTATTATTATCACGACTGCACGTCAAGGATGTCATTGTATAGTACTGTGCTCTCCTGGGGAATTTTGGCCCGGAAACAGTGTGACTCAAGATGCGATGGCAAGGCCAATTTGAAAAGGCATCCGCTGTGCACACGGCCTCCATCCAAGTACGGCTATTGATTTCCTTGCCTACAGAGAGAAGGTGGATATCTCTTATGATGCCAATTTCAGGATCCAATGAGAGTATAGTACATATGGTGGCATACCTTGGCGCTGCAGGGTGATTATTGTATTGCCTTCGGATGGTGTATTTGGTTGCAATTCCTTGTGATCACCGTGGTTCAGGGCGTCGTGTGCCTTCCTTACCGAGTTGTCCACAATGAGAGTTCTCAAGACGTCTTCACATTGCCTCTTTTGGGTATGCTGACAACAAAAGCGTGTGGATTGGGTTTGCTTCTTATCTCACATTGCGTTTATGGTAGGTTGAACATGTTGGATGATGGTACCTCTGGCAGCAACAGGATGCGGATCTCAAAGCAAGAATGCTGTATGGTTGGCTCAATGGTATGCGTGGTATTGGATCTACAAAGCGAAACCTGTTAATTAACCAACCTTATCATAAAACAGCAGCAAGACAATATGGATGACATGGAGATACGGTTTTATTCGAGACAATGATGCTATTGGGAATACCACAAGGTAAGAGTGTACATTATGATGGGATTGGTTGGATTCAAGTGGGCTTACCAAACACCATACAGTGACAGAGCCTCTTTCGGCGATACTATTATTATCAAGGCTGCATGTCAAGGACGTCATTGTACTGTACTTTCCTGTGGAGCTCTACATGTTGTGCCCGGGGACAGTGCGACTCATGTTGCGGCCTCAGGGATTTAAAAATGCATCCTCTGTTCGCACGGCTCCATCGTTTTACGGCTATTGATCTCCTTGCCTTTAGAGAGAAGATGGGTATCTCTATTGATGCACTTCATCGCGTCGATCCACAGGAGAGTACTGGTACTATGACGTTTCTTTGGCTGTGCGCTTTGATTATTACTTTACATCCTGATGGCCTATTTGATTCCAAGTCTGCTGGTGATAATTGCGTGATTCAGGTATGTATGACTCTCGTGCTTTTTGGAGACCTTTGCTGAAACGCCTACCATTATTTAGAGGGACCATTGCAGAGAGCTGCTTGTCTTTTGGTGCTTTGAAGTTTACAAGATCACAGCTATGATTGCTAAGTATTGTTGAATGAGTTTGGACAGTTGTTTATGGTGCATCTTTTATAGGTGAATCATATCCGCAATTGGTGTTTGTTGTCATCAATCTCTATCACGTCTCTAATGGCTCGTTACCAAGCAACCGGCGATTTGTCTGAAGGGGGCATCCAACGCACGTCTCTTATGAGTGGATTGTATCAGCAACTAGCAACAGCATGCATATCTTTGGTGCCATATCAACCCTCATCCCATCACCTGGTGCTTCCCATTACCTGCAATTTGGTGGTCCTGCTGAAACAAAGGTCTCTTATCGATCGATCGATCGTGTCAGCAACAGGGAGCAGCTTTTCTATCTTTGGTGCATGTTCTGGTGGTTCGGGTTGTATCAGCAACTCCTTTGATGGATCTCTACAAATATACGCGTCTTATGGATGGATAATGTCATCAACAAGCAATGAGAGTCCGCGTTGACATCTTTGATGTTACCAAGGTCATTTATGCATCTCCTCAAGGCATTCATCGTCAAGCTGCATTCGATTTCCAATGAAAAACGATTGCCATTCACATCGCTCTTTAGCCATATGTACGTCACTCCGCAGCTAGGATCTGGTTTGGGCTTTTCGATGCACAATGCTTTCTCGATTTGCATGTGGTCTTGGGCAGCAAGGATTGTCTCGTTGCCTCTCTTTGTAAGGGCTCTTCGGCATCATGTAAGTATGCTCTCTTTGGTGGTATCAATATTACTCAACCTTCTCACTGCATATGCCCATAAAGTATCGTTCCATCGCTTTCAGCTTACAACCCGGGTGCCATCGTAGCGGGTCTTATCAACAAGCGGACGATTGCAAAGAATCGGTTTGATTTGGATATCAGCAGGATTGCGTGCATATGGCTATCATTGGTAAATGATGATCCGTCTTTTCTACGATGCCTGCCAACCTCTTCGTTTATATAGTATGTGGTCTATTCAGCGAGCTACTTGTCTCTTGGTCCTTTGGGATTTTCATGGATGCAGCTATCATTGAATGTCGACATGTTTTCGTGCATATGGCTACCATTGGTAAATAGTGATCCATTCGTTTCTACAACGCCTGCCAACCTCTTTCGTTTATTGTAGTATGTGGTCTATTCAGCAAGCTGCATGTCTTCTGGTGCATTGGGATTGCTATGGATGCAGCTGTCATTGGATGCCAACATGTTGACGTGTATATGGCTATCATTGGTAAATAGTGATCCGTTCTCTTCTTCAACGCCTGCCAACCTCCCCTTTGATTATAGTATGTGGGCTATTCAGCAAGCTACTTGTCTTCCGGTGTGTTGGGATTTCTATGGATGCAGCTGTCATTGGTAAATAGTGATCCGTTCTCTTCTTCAACGCCTGCTAACATCCTCTTTTATGATAGTATGCGGACTATTCAGCAAGCTACTTGTCTTCTGGTGCATTGGGACTTCTATGGATGCAGCTGTCATTGGTAAATAATGATCCATTCTTTCTTTCAATGCTTACTAACACCCTCTTTCATGTGGGTTACTCAGCGAGCTATTAGTCTTGTGCCCTTTGGATTCTTGATGGATGCTGCTATCATTGGATGTCGACAGGGTTTTATTCATATGGCTACCATTGGTAATTGATGATCCAGTCGTTTCTACAACGCCTGCCAACCTCCGCTTTTATCTTAGCATGTAAGCTATTCATCAAGCTACTTTTCGTTTGGTCCTTTGGGATTTTCATGGATGCAGCTATCATTGCTAAGTATCGTTCTACGGGTTTGGGAAACTGTTTACCGTACATCTTTTATAGGTGAATCATGTCAGGGTCAAAGAGCAACGTCTACAGCATCCTTCAGTGTCAGCTTGCCTTATTACATCGTTCGATGGTTTTCATTACTGTACCACCTATTGGACACTTCCTTTTATTTGCATCTGCAGCGGCAAGGCAACAAGTTCTATACCTATTAGTGTCGCCAAGTTTTATCTCGTCTTATTGTGGTCCTAGTTGTTGGCAACCCTTTCAATGGATATCCTGCTACGCATGCCTGTTACTGGTGGATCATATCAGCTACAAACAAGAAGCGGCAATGAGCAACAGAGCCCACGTCTTTAGTGTCAACAACATTTACTTGATCCTCTGGTGGTTCTCGTTATTGGCAAATTGATTTCAAGAGCCCTCTTCACCGCACGTATCTTATGGATGTATCACATCAGCGACAAACAACAATTTTACGTGTCCTTTTGGTGCTGTCAAGGTGTATCCATCTCTCATGGCATTCATCATCAAGTATCGCTTGGAGAAACGGCTATCAAAATTGGTCACTGTGTCGACATCTCTACAGCAAGGAAATGTGTTCTGGTTACTGGGTGGTATCAAACATCGTGGATTCTCATATGACACTGGCTAAGTATTACTACCATTACCTCAAAGATAAATTAGTGATATGCAGTTTTATAGGCCCATCAAGCTATAATTTTGCATGCTCTTTGGTGCCATCAAAGTCTCTCGTTACAGTTGTCAATGGCGAATCCTATTGAATTGGAAGACGAAGATCAACATTTGAATTTGGGTGGGTGTCTCAGAAGCAAGCAAGCGATCTCTATCTTATAGTTGTGGTTGTCAAGGATACCGTTTCCATGGTTTTGGAAATCAGCTACCTGCAAGTCGTCTCTTTATCGGTGGATCTTCAGAGCAATGGTTTTATCGGTACCATGGCGGATCTCATTCCTCAAGTACTTGTATGGATTCCTTGGACGTTCTCTTGGCAAGTCAATATCCTCGCGTATGCTATTTCATCAAGACCGGATTTATATGTTGCAGTGCATGATGTGTCTCTCTGATGACGCCTACCCAAGAAAGTCGCTTGATGGCAGCTACTACTGATATTGCGGATGCTTATTTGCTATGGGTAGAACGGGATGGTGCCTTGCTCATTTGTGTAAAGCATTGTTGGCAGCTATGATTTACATGCGACAGTGTGGTCAGCCCTATCTTGGCCCTATCAATTGCATTAATGAGTACTGCCTTAACCGTTGGAAGTCAGACTGTTACTCCCTGGCCTTGTGGTAGATATGGGATCATGTATTGCTATCGCCCAGCGGTATACCAAATCGTCATCATTCCCGGTATCAGATGGTCTAACTTTGCTGTTTTTTACTTATAGAGACGATGGTTACGATGACAACGACATTCACAACAATGACGATTACGATTATCACCTCATCCACAACAATGACAATGATAACGACAGCGAGATTCAAAAGGAAGTCTGCAAGATCCCATTCTTTTCAACTTGTGTATTTTTGGATGTTGGTGTGACGGATGAGATTGACGACTGGTGACGAGTACGAGTAGGAATGATGACGGAGGACGACTACGACGATGGTGATGGTAATGTACAGGACATAGCAAGATAGCTAGATGAAATAAAGCATTGTTTATTTATTACACGCTTGTTGGAGATTACTAGCTTGTGGATTACATACTATTGCTTCGAAGATGGAATAATAAAGGTGGTCCGGTTATCGGTCATGCAAGAAGTACATGGCTTTTGTGATACAATAAGGAGGAGTGAGAAGTGGGATGAGCTTGAGAAGAGAAAAAGTGAAGAGATCCCTCCATTGAGTTTCAGGTTGATTGAGTGACTCATTCAATATGTATATGTATCGTTTTACATATACAAATTGGTTTATGCAGCTCGACTTTCTTCTACATGCAAATGTAATGCATACCTTGACACACCTTCATTATTGGATGCTCTTTACTTACGTACCTTCACAAAAGGCAATCATCATCATCATCATCCATTTGTGTAGCAACCTCTCAAGGACGTGTCTGTGTAACCACCACGTGCCCTTTCACTCAGCTCCATCTTTCCGTTAATGCAGCCGACACCATCCACTAGGAGAAAGCAACTCCATCACGCTTACAGCATAGGTAAAACATAAACGTGCCTGTATCTCCAAACTTTACAATGAAACGTGGGGTTTTTATTAGAGCAATGTGCTCGGCTTGGCCAACAGCACATTGTGTGAAAGCTTCGCGTTCAATGTCGCAAACAGCCCAAAAAATATTTTTTGGTCGTCGTCGACGAAGAGGTCGACCCCCAGATCCAGTTTGGCTGGTAGCGACATTGCGAAATCTGGGATTGGCAAGCTTGAACGTAAAACTTTCACACAAGGTGCTGTTGGCCAAGCCGAGCACATTGCTCTAATAAAAACCCCACGTTTGATTGTAAAGTTTGGAGATACAGGCACATTTATGTTTGTAAGCGTGATGCTATATGAGAAGTGGTCTTTGTTCATTGTCAAGTAGCTAGACCCTGGCAGAGCAAAAGATGCAGAAGGACCTCTTTGGGTAACTCAGCTAAAAAGTCAGGACTTCAGGGACAATGCATGAAAAGTACGCAACCCTCACTTTGATGTCATACATTGGCAGCTAATAGCCACTTTTGTGCATTCCCAACTTTTGTGCATTCTGTTGTAGGTGGACGATGCCCCTGCTCTAGAAATTCATTTCCATGATTAAAGTAGGTTGATCCGAGCTGATTTGACTGAGCTGCGGTCAAAGAGAGATTACATCACTCTGGACATAAAGCACGCTCGATGTAGCTCAACCGATGTAACCTTGTGTGAGCGTAACTCAACCAAATCAGCTCGGATCAACCTACTTTAATCATGGAAATGAATGTCTAGAGCAGGGGCATCGTTCCCATGCAGTGGATCTCGCAACAATGATGATTGGATAAAAGTGGCCGTTAGCTAGCAATACATGCCTGTTCCTAGATGATCCATAAAGTAATTATACATTGACCCTTTCATTCATGCAAACGTAGCTGTGTTACACAGCACGACCCTCTGCATCTTTTGCTCTGCCAGGGTCCACCTACTTGACAATGAACAAAGACCACTCTTCATATAGCATCACGCTTACAAACATAAAGGTGCCTGTATCTCCAAACTTTACAATAAAACGTGGGGTTTTGAATAGAGCAATGTGCTCGGCTTGGCCAACAGCACCTTGTGTGAAAGTTTCACGTTCAATGTCGCAAACAGCCCAAAAAATATTTTTTGGTCGTCGTCGTCGAAGAGGTCGACCTCCAGATCCAGTTTGGCTGGTGGCGACATTGCGAAATCTGGGATCGCCCACGATGAACTTCATATTTTGGCACAAGATTCCTTTGACCCCGACGAGCACGTTGATCTATTCAAAACCCCACGTTTGATTGTAAAGTTTGGAGATACAGGCACCTTTATGTTTGTAAGCGTGATGCTATATGAGAAGTGGTGGTCTTTGTTTAATGTAAAGTAGTATGACTATATTAGAGCTGAAGATGCAGAGGGGCGTGTTGTGTAACTTGAGTCAATCAGCACAGGCGATGCATGATACTTGTACACTATTTAAGAATAGTTCAAAATGCCAGCTAATAACCTAGTCCTCCCATTCTCCATTGTTGCCCAATCCAATGCATACGACGATTGTCCTGCTACAGCACATCCTTCCCATCCTTCAACTTTCTTGATCCAAGTGGATTTGACTGAGTAACGCTCAAACACAAAACATCATCCAATTTCACAAAAATCATTTTGCAAAGTTATTTGTAAACTGCCAGCTGATAGCCCATCTCTCCCATTCACCTTTGTTGTCCAATCCAATGCATACAAACGATTGTCCTGCTCCAGCTCATCATGTCCATCCTTCAACTTCCTTGATCCCACGGGATTTGACTGAGATACGGTCAAACAAAGAAGTATCATTCAACATCAGATCAACCCATTTTGATTTCCAGTTCTTCCACTTACAGCATCTTGCCTCTTCCTCCCATTCTCAACTGTTGGCCCATTCAAATACAACTACCACCTGCGAACGTTGTCCTGCTTCAACCCATCATGTCAATCCTACAATTGCATTGATCCGGTAGCCTTTGACTGAATGAGCAAGTCCATGGCGTGTGCACCCCATTACAACACCTGCATTTCTTGACACACCACCTTCACTATTGCACTCCTCTTCCACCATCAAACGCAACAACGTTCATTCCAGCAGTTGCAATCAGCAAGGTCTTTACTCCATTGTATAAAACAGCGTTCTCTACTTGCAGCGCTCTACCTTGCAGCCTTTTCACATGAACAGCAGATGGCCACCATATGCAAACAGCTTTATGTACGTGTATCAACTTGCTTTAATACAAACGAATTCCTATGAAGGATATGGTTCTGATACTGCTTTGGTAGATGGAATGGAAGGATTTGGATGTATACGACGTGTGGACAAAGAGCCTTCGTTCTTATGCATCCATTGTCAGCAACACGTCAACTTGAGCATCCTGAACAATTAGTGCAACCAATCATCGTACTTTACACGCTATTCTATGGCAACTACTATCGATCATCCAACTCCATATTTTGTAACGCCATGCAGCAAGAGCAGTTCACATCCATCCATGCACCTTTGCACAAGGCACGCGCCAATGATAGAACTTCCCCAAAACGATGTATCTCCCATCATCGTACCTCAACCTATTTCTTATGAATGATGGTGGATAAAAAGGTTACTTAAGCGAATACAACATTGACTTGGCCTACCATTTCTCAGCCTGTGTTTTGTGAGAGACCTTCCTTCTTGCTGACTTGGATCTCCTCGTGTGTGTGGACTTGTTGATGCATTGTATTTTGGAAAGAGTTATGCAGGATTGTAAAAGTGCATCCACTTGTCAATGCTGTGATAAAGGAAAATGAAAGATCGGATTGATGCATTATGCTTTGAACCATTGGCTGCATTCGATGGTATAAATCACCTCCCTTTTGTTTGGTGATTAGATGTTGTCAATAACGTCGTAACACAAGCGCCTTTTTTATGATTTGATCTTGTAAGATCGTCACTTCGTTAACAGACGACAGGAGATGGACGCATCACATTGGGTTGATTTAAGAAAGAGTGCATTGATAGCACGTGCGATGATAGCCGGGTGGGCACGGTTGCAGCTGAGACGTGAATTCTCCCACGGTGCCATAGAGGGCAATCGCCAGAAATGTATGAAAAGGGCTAGGAAAACGAAAAAGATGGTGTTTCGTTTACTTTTTACAATACCTACGCTCAAGGCTACTCTTCCAGTACTATGTCGCAACAACGTGGTATGTTGTGGGCAGCTTATAACAAGGGCGGGCTATGAATAATGATCATGAAACAGTTTGCTTATTTGTGCATGTGTCAAATTACAGAGATCTTTATTGCTGCTTCGATTCGCACCCCACTTGGATGCTTCAATGGATGTTTGGGATCCGTCAGTGCTACCAAGCTTGGATCGATCGCTATTGAAGGTGAGTGATGTGTTACGGCTGAAACATGTACCAATGACGATGATATTTACTGTTGTTGTTATTATCAGCTGCCCTAAAGCAAGCAAAGCTGCCTACAGAGAGTGTTGATGAAGTCATTTTTGGATGCGTACTTTCTGCAAACCTTGGTCAAAATCCTGCACGACAAGTTGCATTGGGTGCTGGTTTGAAAGAGTCCACTGTGAGCACAACCGTGAACAAGGTATGTGCATCGGGCATGAAAGGTAATGGTTCTTTAGATACAAGCGATCAATTCAAACCACTGTTATTTACTTTTTTACCTTGCTAGCCATCTCCATGGCAACCCAAAGTATTATGCTTGGCAATGCCGAAGTGATTGTTGCAGGTGGCACCGAATCAATGAGCAACACACCCTATTATTTACCCAAACAACGATTTGGTTCCGTGTATGGGAATACGGAGGTCATTGATGGCGTGCTCAAAGATGGCTTGACAGATGTATACCATGGATACCAAATGGGCGTGGCAGCAGAAGGCTGTGCTGAGCGTCATGGTATTACGAGGACTCAACAAGATGATTATGCCATTGAATCGTACCACCGTGCTCAGGCTGCACATAATGCAGGTTACTACAAGCATGAAATTGTACCAGTTACTGTCAGCTCTCGTGGCCGCGATACTGTGGTGGATACGGATGAAGAAGTATGGCGTCTCAAAGAAGATAAGCTACGAACGGTGCGACCTGCATTTGTTGGCGACAACAATAATTGCACTGTCACTGCACCCAACAGCTCTCCACTTTCGGATGGTGCTGCTGCCGTGGTGTTGGTGTCGCGTGAGGCTCTTGAAAAATACAACTTGACACCTGTGGCCAAGATTATCGGATGGGCTGATGCTGCTCAAGCACCTTCGCACTTTACGGATTCACCTTCCCTAGCCATTCCAAAAGCAATCAAGCATGCTGGGTTGTCGTTGAATGATATCAGCTACTTCGAAATCAACGAAGCATTCAGCGTAGTTGCATGTGCAAATATGAAGTTACTTGGTTTGTCGGCGGATCAGGTGTAAGTAGAATGGGGATGAGAGAAAATGGCTGCATGATGCATGCATAATGTCTTACTGATTTATGAACTACCCACTCACATACCATTTTTTATCTCCCCTTTTCAACCCCAACCCCCCCCCCTTTTGCAGCAATGTATTTGGTGGTGCTGTCGCAATGGGTCATCCTTTGGGTTGCTCTGGTGCAAGAATTGTAGTTACCTTGCTCAACGTTCTCAATCACAAGAAAGGCAAATATGGTGTTGCAGGTGTCTGCAATGGTGGTGGTGGTGCATCTGCATTAGTGGTAGAGAAATTGTAATAGACGACAGCAGCATGATTGTTGTGCGCATCTTTATTTTGTCTATCAATCAATACACCCTTGACCAAAATTGGCAAACAACGATACTGAATGAAGCCTTCAGCTCTATACAAGTTTTCTTTCCCCTTGTTTTTCTCTTTCTCCCCTCCTCTTTTTATTACTCTTTCTATCTTTTTCTTTTCTTTGTGCCTGATGAAGTAATGGTTACCTCGCAAGATACGGCGTGGATTGTCTACACCATTGTGTTTATATTACAGGGCATTGTGCTAGGTGTACGTAGCAGGCACAATTTACTATTGCTCCCTTTTGTTGTATTCACACTTTTATCGGCTGTGGGGCACATTATCATGATTGAACGCAATTATCAAGGTGATACACTAGTGCTCTTGGCAGACAGGAGCGTCATCACCAATCATATGCCTATTTTTTCATTCCTCTTGTATGCTGGTATCATCGGGTGTCAACTTGTTTGCATTCAAAACAGTATTGCAAATAGCCACGTACAACAACAGCCACCATCACCATCATCCTCCAAAGATGCTACAAGTGAAAAGCAGCAACACCGCTTATTGTTTATCAGCCGAGCGCGTCTAGGCCGTAGACCGCCTATGTATTGGGTCATCATTAGCCATTTATTAGCCTACGGTTGTTTGGTGCTAGCATTTATATGTGTGCGGGTTACGCGTGATGATGATTTATCTGCCACCCGCCGATCGCTCGCTAGTCTCGTCACATCCATGCTGGGGATCATTGTTAGTAACAGCGCCCTTTTATACTGGTTCACGTTTTGTCGACAATCGATATCTATTGCATCCAGGACAAGCAAGCAACATTATTACGATACGTGGTTGGTGCGTATTATCATGTTTTTGTATTTGGTTTTCATGACAGGCATGGCTACCGAAGCATGGCTATTCTACGGCATGTTAGAGAATCGTCACGTCAACTACCACCTGTCAGCCGGTCCTGGCAGCTGGATTGCACTTGAAACCACGCTTGTCTATTTGCCCATCTACATTATCCTTGGCATTCTTGTCATTCTTCGATGCTTTCGCCAACTAAGCGATGCTGATATCGAGTCTCCCAACGACACAGGTTCATCCACGACGGCTACAGGTCCTCGCAGCTTACGATTTCTTTGGAGTTCTCGTAACAACCACCCACATCGTCACTTAGAAGAGGATACCACTTAAGCCTAAAGTATCATTCACATTCCTTGTTCTTTCCTGCAATGTACTTTTATTTGTTGTTGTAGCTATTGTACGCAACATAATATACACAAAATCAATCCTCATCCCTTGCATCATCCGTGGTGATATCGACCTCCTCGTTCTGGGCAATCACGTGCTAAATGACCAGGCTATTGTGTGATAGGTGTGAGTTGCATTTTTCAGATGGCATGAATACTACTACTCTACCTTGGAACAGTTGAAGCAAACAGCCGTTGATCGATGATCGCGGTTGTAGTTGTAGCTATTGGATCGGCGATATGCATCATATGGATCGTTTGGCGTTTGGCCAAAAGCTGCTTGATGTCGATCGTCATTCTTAGAAGATGATGAGGATGATGGTGGTGGTCGTTGTTGCTGCGGAGATCCATAGCCTCCAAATCTGGATCGAGATCTACCACGATAGGGTGAAGGTGAACGTGATCGAGGACGACGGTGAGATGGTGGTGGTGACCATGATCGTGACCTAGACCTGGATCGTGATCGTGACGAATAAGATCGACTTCTTGATCGTGAATATGACCTAAACAGATCATACATGTTATAAAAACATCCTTTCATCTTGACATAATACTTGCCTTTTTCTACGTCGATAATAGTCACCACCTCGACTTGGGCTACGACTATGACGATGATGATGATCACGGGATCTTGAACGTCTTCTGCTTCTTCCTTCAGAGGAATTCCGCCGTTTCTTGTAACGCTGATCATGTTGTAGCTTCTCACGTTGCTCATAAAACGCGTCCAGATAACCAGGCTCCCATCCACTACGATCAAGCTTGCTTTCGACGCCTTCTTCAAAATTGCCAGTGCTATCCTTGAGATCCAATCCTTCATAAAACTGCTCCACTGCCTTTGATAAATCTTTGCTTGTTGCTGATGCGTTCGAAATGGGTCGAATGTCTGATGGCTCCAAAGGACAATAGGGTGCAGCATCCAACTAAGGATTTTTGCTGTTAGTATATAATGTATATGATGACGCATCGTAAATTACCTTAAGAGCATCCACCATCAGACCCGCCGGTAGCTCATGATATGGTTTATTAGGAATTGATGGCATCGCTTCTCCTTTGTGAGTTGTTGAAGATGGTGACGATTTGATATGAGCTGTATTTGGCGGTGGTGGTGGTGGTTGTTGACGAGCAGCCATGTGTGCTGGATAGGGTTGGGGAGTCGACGATGGGGAAGGACCTTGTGTCGGTAATGGAGGCCTTGGTTGCATAGGTCTTCCTGCATAAAACGGGGGTGGAACACCATAGCCTGGGAATGGATGAGGAGGATATCCTTGATAACCCATCGTTGCTGTTGCTGTTGGATGTGGATGTGGAGCACCACCAACAAATGAAGATGGCCTCATGGGAGGAACACTTTGCATTGATTGAGATGATGATGGTGGTGGCAATGGAGGTGGAGGTGGTCCAAATTGAACAGCTTTCCGGATATGGTTGACAACACCTGCATCGAGAAATCGCTTATCCTCCCAAATCGCAAGCACCTATCATGAACACCATTAACCCACATTATCCATGAATGTATAAATCAATACAATACCTTGTTTACTTTTGCTCTCATATCCTCAGTGGCACCCGGTGCATGATAAGCATGTCCTAGCAAGTTCGCTAACCGTGGAATCATCGCATCCTTCATCCATGCAGCCTGCCGACGTTCACTATAATAACTCAATCTATCAGCCTAATCCATCTCGCATAATCCTTTCCTTTGTTTGCAACATGCCTGTGATACAAGACATCATTCATCAGGTACACCAAATGCAATCGTTCGAAAAAGCTGTCCTTTGAATACGATAACGCCACACAATAATCTGAAATGGCCTCCATGTGTATAGGTTGACGACAATGATCAAATATCCAGGTCTTGCCTGATGGGAATATGTATAAGCAGAGTAACTCGCTACGACATGCCTGCTATCCCTTACCAGCTTCGATGTTGGCACGTGAGCATTCCGCCATGAGTGCGTTCAATATGCTTTGAAACTGTTCGCCTGGATTCCCTTCATAATCCATATCCTGTAATACACGCACAAGGTGGTCGTATGATGCTGCCACCATGAAGGAACGGTCGTAACTATGTGCTGCTGTTGAGGCTAGTGATGGTGGTGGTGGTGGCGAAGGTCGTGGAACCATAGGACGCATGCCAGTTGCAGGAATGTAATGCGATTGAGGAGGAGGAGGAGGTCGTCCTTGAAAGCGATGGCACCAAAAGAGACAGCATTAACCGTTATATCCAACCAACATGTCACCGATCGAATGCGTGAAAGTAGCAAGGACTGATTTGGTATTTATAGTTACCATAGTCATAAGGATCCATGAATGCTTGTTTGCTGTGGAGAAAGAAAGCGTCGTTCCTTGAAACGGCAAAAGAATACGAAATACGCCGCCCTATTTTGATCGCTGACCTGGCAGACACATCAATATGGCAACACTCTTTAACCTCGCGAGACGAATCTATTGAACTGTACTTCAAGCACAATAGCATAGTCTGATAGTGCTGTGTATGCTCTTAGTAGATTTCCCTACTACAGTTCCTCAAAATGACATCCTTCTTGGTTGACATCGTTCTCAGCTACATACCCTTACAATGAATGAACTCTCTTTTCATCGATAAATTTGGATAATAAATCATTGATAGAAGAGGTGAAGCTGTTTAGCACTGCATGAAAGGGGGAATTCCGGATGCTGAGTCTCAGCGAGCATCGCATCATCTACCAACATGTACATCATTGACTACCGATTGATGAATGAGACACTGAGCCTACTATATTCATTGAGTCTCTCTCTCGGGATTTTTTTTGCCAGCTGATCATGCTATGCATATGAGGATTGAGAAGAATCAAAGCAACTACCTTTATAGGTGGATGGTAGAGAAGAAGTGATAGGGTATCTTATTGGCTATGAGCAGCAGCCAATACTGATTTTGGTTTTCTATGTTGTTGTTGCATCTTCATAGGAAGCAATAATGAGAAATGAAGACGTAAGAGTACTGCAATTAGAAATGCAAAGCATGATCTTAAGATGCAATAGTTTTTCTACCGAGGAAACAGTGCCAACGTGATGCGCATCTCTTGAAACATCAAGAAGCGTGCATACTTAAATGGATGGCCATCTTGACCTATTATACAAATCCCTACATCCATCCATCTGTTACTGCTCGCAATGATGATAACAGCGTATATCATTGTCCGTGTTGCCTTTGGGGTTTTACTTTTTGGCCTATTATCATAATGCAAAACGCGCAGCTTTACTCCTCTCATGATCCTGCAGCTACTCTCTATGTGCGGGTATCTGCTTCAAACGGCTGTTGTTTTGATGAACAGCTTTTACATGCATATGCATTGGATCATCAGGATGTGTGTGAACATTTCATCGGAGAAGCTAACGCTCCTCTTTCTCCTTCCTCTAACATACACTTGTTCACGCGGTACATATTTTGTCGCACATTAATGGTTTTAGTATGCATATATGCATTGCAAATCTGTGTTGAGAAAAAGTTGTTGATCGGGATTGACAGCTGCATGCGTGCGTGTGTGTGTGTGTGCCACCAATTGCTACTAATGAAGATCTCTCTCTTTTTCTCCTTACGGAGTAGGACCCCACCTTGGCCCCTTATTTTTACACCCATCAATGTTGGTAGTTCATTAGCTGTCTTTGGAATAGTGTACCACTGTCATTCGCTTTATTAATACGTTTATTTTTCATGCGATTGTATGAAAGGCCCATGTGATGGTGGTGGCCATGTATGCTGTATGTATGAATAATAATGTGGTGGTGATGGGATGTTTGTTTTTTTCTTCTTTCAATGGGAACATGTAGGTAGCAGATGATGCACTAGGATGCATAAGATGTGTTCTGAAGGATATATGGGAGTGAGAAATAAAGAATATGGGGATTTTAACGAGATGTGGGGGTATTAGTAGGTGATCGACGATGCGGTCTGGATCGCCTTAAACGTCTACCAAATGAGAATTCAGGCATGCATCGTGTGTCAAGATCCTCGCATACATTTGCAGATGCTTGGATAGCGTCGATCCACAAGACCGCACTCATGTATGTGCTGCATCGAATAAGGAATTGAGGGCCGTGTCGAATGCGTACACGCACAACATCTGGATATTTACGATAATCGGTAGCCATTCCAGCTTCAGCATGTTGCATTGAAAAGCTCCATACAGGTCTTTCAGTTTCAGGATTGGTGGGTTGCTTCTTATAAGCACGTATCGATGTTCCCCATACAACAACATAGAGGTTTCTGGAAAACAAAAGCAAATTAATCAAGGGGGTAAAAAGAGACTCAATATCACAATAATAACCTACCTCCATGATCGCTTTTTGGATAACGTGTTCTCATCTTCTCGTTCACGTTTGACATGCACTTGTCCTGCTCGTGACACGGTGCATTCATAAGGTGGTAGATGTTCTTCATCTTCATCCTCATCGCTTTGTATCCCAGATTGGATGTGAGACGACGACCACGGATGGCACGGGTCATCGTATACGGGTGGCTCGGGATCAATGTTGCTGACAATGGTGCAAGTGGTAATGGTACTGGGAGTGTGTTCAGACTCCGGTTCGGGTTGTTCGGATGATGATGATGATGAACATGTTGTTGAAGTCGACATAAAGGATGAAGCTAGGGACCAGGATGATTTCATTTGTCGTAATTTGGTGAATGGGGAAAGAAATTGTGGCCAACGCTGTTGTTCTTTTTTAGGAGTTGGATGTTGCCTTGAATGAATTCGACCTAGGAGGTCGTTGTGTAAGCAACAGCAATCCAAGGCCGGGATGATGATGGTATCACATCTTAGAACATTGCTTACCCAAATGATAAGTAACATGTTGGCTGGTGGTTGTGTTTTGAACCTGTTGACAGGTTTCAAGGGAAGATGTTGGGTTGAGCATGAAATACAGATACAAAGAGCGAGAAGAGAAAAAGAAAAAAGAAGCGTATGCAAGAAAGAAGCAAAGGATGGCCGAGAACAAAAAGCACACCTCTCGTTTTTATATGATGCAACAGCCAAATACGGCAACCTATTATCGTATCTTCACCTTGTATAGACCATGAGGGTGGCACACCCGAGTCGATCCTCTTTGTAGATGAGCATGACTCTAATTTTTCTCCTTCATCCCTTTCACCCAGCCCCTTGTGTACACACACACACTGTTGTGTAAAAAGTAAAACCGCCCTTATCCTTTGCTATATACATCACTCGATTTGCCCCTTTCACTACCAATAATTACCATTTACCGCCACTAATGAGCCTTCATTTCACGGGTAAGTGCTGGTGTTTTTGGTCTGTTTACATTTGTTCCGCATCTGTCACTTGTATGGGAATAATCTTGTGCAATGACAACCCAACATGAGCTATATCTGGCAACTTGACAACTTGCGATGAAAGCAGGGCTGGGCTGTTGAGAGGCTGAGACAACGAGTTGTTGATAGCCATAAAAGAAAATGAACCTCTCGACAATCAAAATGAGGGTGAGCTTTGAAAAATAATCAAGGTCTTGACACGATCTAATGGGTAGCAACAATGTCATCGAGATAAAGGTTGATCATATGCCTGAGCTGTAAGCTTATATCTATCCCACAACAAGGTTACCAGGTCGCACAAAACTTTAACGGTAGGTCTCATCATCTACCCCCACACACGGCCAATTTCGCGTGATATTGTATTCGGTTTGCTGATATGCACATGATATTTTTTCCGGTAGACAATGAAATAGAAAGAAAGAAAGAGACCAACTTGCCACATCTAGAATCGACGTTCATTGTTGTATGAAGTAGCAACATTCGTTGGCTGCAAGAAGCTGTTTTGATAACAAGTCATCATCATGCAGAAAAATAAAGTTAACCATGTTGTTGTTAAACATGTCTCATGAGATGCCAACAGCGAAATGAAAACAAAAGCCTGATGATTTACATATGCATGTGAGTGTCTTGGACATGGTCAGTGTGCTTGTTACAACAAATTGCAGCACGTCGTCCTAGCAGAGATTTCATTGGATGCAGTGTAGATTTCTCCCATCGTTTCCATATAGCTAAATTACGCCATGGATCAGCATCTTGTGCCGATAGTGGTCATCATAGCAATATCTATAATATATAAAACGGGTTATACCCTATATTTGATTGACAACCGCGTACGCGTGCACAATGTAGGCACTCCAATCCAGATGCAATATGATGATGTTATCATAAAAGTGTCATTTGGGTTATACGATAGAGCACGTCTATGCGGCCACATGGAGCAAATTAGGAATGAGAATCTAGTTAACGAAAAAAGAGATGGGAATCTCGATAGCCGGGCCAAAATGAATATAATAGCAGCCAAGAAATGGGACAAGGCTCTGCATTGTAGTGGTTTGGTGGAACCGGCGCAAAGACAGAAAAAAACCCCGTACTCATAAGTTGCCATTATGATCGTATCTCCGTGACCATCGATGGTTACAATGGGCAAATGGCGACTATTACAGGGTACATGGAGTATTACTCATCGGCACAATACACTCTGACAAAGGTAATCTCATTTATTATGTAGATACGCAGCTGCTGCATGTGTCTGGGGCACGCATTATTACCATGACTACATGGCTTGGGCCGGTCTTCCCTTTTTAGTGAGAGTGTACCTTGGCAACTTTTTGGCCTTTTCTTCTTTTCACGCTCTCCTTTTTTCCCTTTACACTCTTTCTCTCTTTTTTCTTTTGTTGCTTTCTCAACCTCCCTTCAGAGGAAGAACGCCCATCAACCTCGGTACATTCGGTAATGTCGTCGGTCTTCATCTCCGAGCACAATGATCAGTCCCAGCCACCTGAACCAACACGTCCCAAACGACCACGATCAAGCTATGCTGTAAGTTGGTATGAAGGATACTGAAAAGCGTTGTGGGTGTTTGAAAAGGGTGTATTGTCTCCTTTATGATGGTACCTTAAACGCTTGCATAATTTGCGGGAGACTGACGCGTGTGGTATCATAGTGCTCAAGGTGCAAAAAGAAAAAAGTCAAATGCGACTTTGCACAGCCAACGTGCAAGCGATGTGCTGCATCCAACAGTGAATGTAATTACGCCACACCACCACGACGCGTAGACAAGTCGGCATTTAAAGCCTTGGGTATCCACGTGGAATCGTTAAAGATGCGTATGCAAAAGATGCAAGACGAGCTTGATACAATGCGCCAAGCACTCAATACAACGCCTGGCAATGAGAATCAACCACCATCAGCAGCAGCAATAGCATCATCGAGTACCACGCCATCACCAGTACCTGTATCCGCTACCGATACAACCACAGCCAACAATAACTGTACAACAACAGCATCATTACCATTTGCAACAACAAATACAATGAAACCTGCTTCCGTTGTCATGGAAAATGCTGCCGCCGCTGTTGCCGCCGCCGCAAGCCCATTTCCAAATCAGACGTCTGCTCCGGCAGCCTCCGCTCAACACCGTTATCCTCCTCCTGAGGGTGCCTGGAGAATGGAACATTTACCCCCAACCATACATCACACAGATGTCACTGATATGGCGGCCATGTATCAAGCTCTATTGGATGGTATCAGTCATCTCAACATTAACAATGAATCTGCCATGGCGGATCATCATCAACAACAACAACACATGACCACCACCAACAACAACAATCATGCACAGCATAATATCATGGGCGATGCTGCTATTGATGAATTGACCAAGAATTGGTATCCTTGTTGTTTTCTTCCTTATCAATCAGTGGAAACAAAGAACGGCAACGACCCAACACCCTTGTTGACGTGTTCCATCAGAGCATGGGTTGTTCAACATGCATGTATCTTTCATCAAGCATGTCCTGGTGTTGATCCAACCTTGGTAGGAGAAGCCTATTACAATCATGCACAGCAATCATTAATGGGCCAGGGTACCACCCCTACATTGCCAACATTGACTACAATCCACGCCCTTTTGAATTTGTACATGTACCAAATCAGCAATGGCCGATCCGATTTAGCTCATACCCATATTGGGATGGCTGTGCGTATGGCTCAAGAACTTGGATTACATCGACGACCCACAAGGAGGAAAAGAGCGACCAAAGAAGAGACGAGACAAGCTGAAAGAAAGAAACGGCTATGGTGGTCCGTGTATTGGCTTGATTTATGGGCTGCTCTTGGATCGAATAGAGCTCCTATGGTGGATGATATGGAATGCAATGTGGATCCTCCTCAAAAATTGGACAATGAAAATGAGGAAACTGGATATCGAATCAACTATGGCGTACATTCAATTCGACTTTTACGTATTCGCAAAGACATCATCAATCAGCTACCATTACACCAAGACAAGGAGGCATTGTTGTCAGCAATATCAAATTTGGATCTTACACTCAAGCAATGGTTTGCTGAATTGCCTGCTGAATTGCGATTTCCCATTAGCGGCACACTTGAAGGCAAAGGAGCATTCAAAGATGAAGCGTGTCTGTTATTGATTATACAATACCATACGACATGGATCATGCTTCACAAGTTCTTTTTACCACGACATCAATTGGATAAGATGGAGCAGCAGCAACACGATGATCATCCAAATGCACTACTTTCGCTCAACACTTGCACGCGTGCAGCTATCGCTATTACTCGTGCTCTTGAATTGTATGCAGACAATGGAAGCTGGTGTCAATTCTATTTTGTTTTGGATGGTGTCCTTGTCAGCATTGCAGTACATCAACTCAACGCCTTATCAACTGATGCAGGCATTGCATGTCTCTCCCAACGCAACTTGATAGCAACAGCCAATGTGCTTCGCAATTCGCCAATGATCTATATGCAAAAGGTGCAACGGGTTATTGAGAATATCGAGACGTTCTTACGCAGGGAATCAATGCCTACTCGATTAGAAGATGTTCCACCAGTGGATCAAAATGCGGTTTTACGGCAATCAGGGGGATCACGTTATCGACAACAAGCAGCAGCAGCAGAGGGTACCATCAATGCGAATGCCATGTTATCAGGTTCATCGCCATCAGGAACGACACCTTCACCTACGACTGTACATAACACCATGCATCAAACTACACCACAAGCACCACGACCCTCGAGTTATGACATGTACAATTTACCAGAGCACAATGGTATGGCACCAACGCAGCAGCAATCACCTTCATCATCCGATGTGCGAATGGCCTCAGCTTCGACCATGCCAACGACTAGCAATTTGATGGCATCAGGCGTATTCTATGACCCATTGATGGATTTTCATCTTTCTGGTAGAGATGGTGGGATGCTTTTTATGAGCGGGAATGAAATGCAACCAACGCATGCGATCAATACTTCTTCTGAAGCTGCTCTTGCACAACACATGTTCGTATCCGCCACAGTAGATACTCAACAATTTACAGCAGTGAATGAAGAACCTCATCATATTTATACCAATCGACCCTTTCCAGCAAGTGAATCGGCTGCTGCTGCTGCTGCTGCTGTCATGTATCAACATCATCAACGACCACCACCTCCTCCTACGCAACAACAACAACAACAACAACATCACCACCACCACCCTCATCCTCATCAACAACAGCCATCCAAAATAGCTGCTGCACCACCACCACCTAACAATGTATACCCGAATCATCATCAACATCATCAGCATTCCATGTATACTCAGCATCATACTTATCCATCACCCATGCGACCCACTCAACAACAACAACAGCATCAACATCAACAGCGACCCATGGCCAATGGAACACCTCATTACACAGTGATGCCATCCGCTTATGATGCTGCCATGTTTGCACCAGTGGATCCATCAGTCAATCCAGCCTTGTTATCACAAACAAGTCATCCACAGCAATACAATACGCACCCAACATTCCCTCCCAATGCTGGAACGGATGACGATAGCGAAGCAGCAGCATCCACAGGTGGATACAACACGGCAGGATATGCACGTATGGCAGCAAAACGATCACGAGGTGATTGGGATAATGGTGGATAAATAGTGGATAGTCCTAGTTGTCTTTTTTTTCAAATAAGAAAAAAACTTACACAAAATATAAGGAAAAAAGGGAAAGCACATATACAGGGGAATGTTTGCTCATGCATACATAGAGAGTTAAATGGAGGAAGTGAAAGAAAGAGGATACGTGTTGTTGTAGTAGAAGAAGCATAAGGTTGTCAAGGTTGGTTTCCTAGACGACGGGGCGTATCACGTGACATGATTTGAAGTACGTGACGACTGCAAACATACGATCGTGCCATCACCACCACTACATCGACGCACGGATACAAAGGCGCGTAATGCAGGATCATTGGGTAACCATGCATCAAGTTGTTCATGCGTGATGTTATTCAATCCAAGAGATTCAAGCACATCAACATCCTCGTAAATGATGCGTGCTTCACCGTGAGCCATGCTAATATCGGATATTTCGGCATAATGACTAAAAAGGGTTTGCTTTATTAGTATTCATCTTATACAAAGTGGGGTTTCTTTTCTTACCCATCATCTCGCACTTGAATTTGCATGCCGCCCTGTTCCTCATCATCGAGCGATGATACAAGGAAAAAAGGAAGCTCAACGCGGGCGTGATTGGGAGGTGATGGTGTGGACTTGTCATTCCTTTGCTGGTTTCTCCAAATGAGATGACATAGCTGCACGTGCTGTTGAAGCTTATCTCGAATTAGATGGCTCATTTCATCAAGGGATGCCACGAGCGTTGCTTGGTGAACCTAATGTCACCCTTGTTTAATAATGACTTGGTGGTGGTATAATATTAGTAGTAGTTACCTGTTCACGGTGAATTTGAGCTTGCAAATGGTCAAGATGTTGACCATGCATATCGTGTGCAACATGCTCGTCAGTGCACGCAATATCGCCTACCCATTTGATGTTCTTCTTGTCTTTGGCAATGATGCCTGTGCCCATAAGAACATTAAGAGCATCATAAACACGGCGACGAATGTTCTTTTGATCCAAGCTTGTTGTGGTACAGCTCTTTAATTAATGCACGCATGCGTGTGTGTCATTGCAAAGAACAAAGATGATGAAACAAAAAAGGAGTATGCACACTTACCGCATTGTCACTACTACTGGCACGGATGCTCGATGCCAACTCGTCGGCAACCTAATAACAATAATAAACAGTAAACATTTGCATTAGTTCATTCTTTCTCCCTGTAACATGTTGTTGGTCTTAATACCTCATTGTACGTGGTGATACCTTTCCTTGCAACCGTGTCACACACTTGCTTGCTAAAGTGCCTTAAACCACGCGTATCGTCATGGTGGCGATGTTTGGACTTCTTTTGAGTAAAGGTATCATGTTGTTGTTGCTCGTGAATAATGACAGCAGCATCATTTGATCGACCGCGTTTGACAAGATGGGATGCGATAGGCTGTTGATCACGATGAAATGATGTAACTTTGGCATCATGAGTATTATTATGATGGCTGCTAGTAGTATTGGATGGACGATCTTCAGGTGGCGGTGATGCTAGCATGTTTTGCAATGAAGGGAGTCGGCAATGGTCTGATGATGAAGCTAAAACTGCTGGTGTGATGATATTACGTTTCATCAAAGGTCGCAGCTCGATGGAGGAAATTGAGCAAGAATCATTCGTAGGATGTTGATAGTCATAAGGACGATGAATGGGCCTATTTGGATCAAATGGCGATGGAAGCGTGAATAAGTTAGGTGACGGAGGTGAAGGAAGCGTATTAGATGCATGTTGCTGAATGAATGTCAAGTTGGCGTTGGAAAAGATGGACATGCTGTGTGTGGTGATTAAAACGTGTGCTTTGACGTAAAGGATAGGAGGTACGCGACGTTAATCGTAGTATAGAGTCAAACGCGAAGGATGGGAAAAGGGAAAGAAAGAATGTGGAAAGCATAATAGCGCATAGACAATCATTAAAAGTGAATATACAAGAACTTGATAAGCAATGCGCACACGCATATCAATGACACGGGCAATCATTAGCGTGATGACAGTTTCAACATATCGGGTTACCGTATTCTCTTTGGGCTTCGATTAAGAATGGAATCGTCGGCTTTTATGTCTCGGAATGCCATAAACGTAGGGTCGCTTTACGAGCCCTATCTCATGATTCTTTCGACAACCATCGACCGGTCTAAATCGCACACATAAGTATTTGTCTGTGTTGTGCGTGCGTGTGTGTCTCAGTTCATGTAGCCTGAAAATGGGCAACAACGAGGTTGACATCACATGTTATTACCTTATCGTTTTTCTTCTTATTCTCTTGGTCTACCTCAAACCCCTTACTATTGATTTACAAACAATGCCATGTTTATTCAAAGCCTTTTGTACCAGAAAATGGGGATTGGCAAAGGCGGAAGCCGAACGAAACAATAATGTACAGATATAAGGAGGAGAAGGCTAAGCTATTAATTGACCTATTCCTTTTTGCTGGAATGGGCGGTTCTTTGTGTACCATGTACTCATTGAATATGGCTGCGGATGCAGTGTCGATTGCAATGAACAATAAACAGTAAACAATCAACCACGCCAACCAACCCTGCTTTTTTGAAAAGATCACGAGGGGGTTCCTTTTATCGTCTTCCTCCTTAAAACCTATAATACAAGCTTTTGACATTCTAGACAATGGTAAATTTTATCACCGCATGGTTGCCATCAATGTATGATTCATGAAACCTGGTTGCTACCACCACGCTGTATAGTACCAATGGGTCTAAGACGCTATCTGATAAGCATCATGGATTGTTTCAAAATGCTAGTACTATTGTCGCCAACCTAATTGATAATGATGATGATGGTATCCATAATAGCAACGTCGTTTATAAATGACATGCGAAACGCTAGATGAAAAGTGCGTGTTTTTGTTCAACAAGGATAATCTCTTTTTCACATGAATGACATCCATCAACAAGCAGTCCAATCTTTCCTTTTCTTCTAGGGTGGGTAGTAACGAGAACTTTATGTCACATTAAAATATATATAAAGGGTCGCAAGGAGGTTGCTAGGATACGTGTGTGCTACCGTGAAAGGTTGATCAGAAACGGCGGTCAACGGAGGGGGCCGTAAATTTAGTAATGGCGAATACTCCAAGAATCACTACACCGAGAAAAGTGATAGCTGCTGGTAATAGCATTTCTTGTGGAATAGGCAAATCGAATTGTGCTGCACCATCCCGTTTATGCTTGGCACGACGTTGTTGTTGTTGTCTTCGATGACGCCGTCGTCGGCTACCACTGCCGCTACTGTATCGGACATCGCTATCATAATCACTCATGTCACTGCCACTTTCGGATGCATCGCTGGTATCACTGCTGCTTGTTGTTACATCACTCTCATCATGTTGTCGTTGTCGTCGTTTCATACGGCGATGTTTTTTCCCAACATTGTGATTGCTCTCATCTCTTGTTGTAGTATCTGGTTGTGGATGACTAGTAGTAGCAGCAGCATCGTCCAATGTAGTCGTAGGGGGTGTTGGTGGTGGTGCCACAGAAATGGTGGGTTGTCCAAGAGGTACATGGGTATCTTCAGGATGAGGTTGAGTAGTCGTCATTGATGATGGTTGGGTGTCATTGTTGGTTTGTTGAGGTGCCATGCTATCTTGAACAAACAAACGTACTCGATCTTGACCCAATTTACGCGCCAAGTGTACTGCATCTTCCATATCCGCATCACTTGCCAAGAGCACCTTGTCATCCTCATCATCAAGATATGAAATACTCAACCAGCTGTCATCTCCATCATCGTTATTGGATGTCTCATCTCCAACTTTGACATAAGATTGAGAAAGTGCAAGGTGGTCGGACATAATCTTTTGTCGTACGATATCACGCAATGCTGTATAGTTGGAATCTTCACATCGAAAACGGTGGGTTTTGCCGCCATAGGTGAATTTGAAAGAAAAGGTGCCTTGAACATGCGAAGAAACAGTGGATCTCATATCATCACCATTGGCCATAGATGCGCTGTCACCGGGGGTAATTTCTGGGTATCCTGAATGGGAATAAGGTGAATGGTGATGACTGTGGGGTGAAAGAGTACGATCCGGATGAGGACTAGCTGGTGATGGAAACATTTGCGAATTGGCTGCTTGAGATAAAGAGTCGCTAATCGCTGATTCGGTTTCAGTGTTGTCACCAGCCATCATGCTGTTCCAGAATTTGCCTCCACCATTTTCAGATCCATGCCCTTCAATGCTATTGATCTATATAACATTTGTAAGATAAACGTTACCCTTTTCCCCATATGCATACACTTGCCTGGTCCAATGTTGCATACGTTAATCTTAGCACATCCACTAGACCAACAATATGCTGCTCATCATCAATGACCGGTAAATTCAAATAATGACCATCTACGCCACCATCACGATTATTATCATCATCATCATCTCCGCAATTGCAATTGCCATTTTCCTTACCATGCATCTTTTTGAGAGCGTCCAAAATGCTTGTAGAAGGGCTAGCCGTATCTGGATGAGGAGTCATAACTCGGACAACGGAGCAATTCTCGGGTGCCAAACCAGCTGCAATCACACGAAGTACAATATCCTTGGACTACAATGCATGATGTTGTTGTGAGCTCAGCGAACAAAATCACATGTCATAAGGCACAGGCACACACTTACCGTGAAGATACCGGATAATCCACCATGATCCATTACCAATACGGCTGTAGTGCGATGTTCTTTCATGAGGGTGGCCACATCACGAACATTGGCTTTCATTGCAACTTGAACAGGCATCGAATTGTCGAGAACGGTAGTAAGATCCGGGCATGACATTTTATCTCGTAAGGCATCCATGTACTGCACAAATTGAACAGGACTGTTGGCCCATTCACGTTCAACGCCTTCCAATGCATCGTACAATTTCCTTGAAGATCCATAAGCTCGTTCCATCTTGTTCAGTGCTTCATATAAACATTTGGTGATATCAAGTAAGCCGAAGATGTCTCCTTCTTCATTGCAAACAGGCTACTCGGGATTCTTTAGTCAACATGTTACATCCAACAACATCATGGACCTATTTCATTACCAAATGACGGAATCCACGGGAGACCATAAGGTTGAGAGCATCTTGAGCGGATGTGTCGGCTGTGACGCACATTGGATTTCGCGTCATGATATCGGATACAGTGGTTGCCCTGACAAGGTAATTGCGCGCGTGACGAGGAAGCGGGCATAAATCAGCTCATGCCACAAAAGTACGTACGTGTGTGCCATTGCCGACTTACCGTGCATCCATGTGAGAAGCGACTACTCGATATGCAAGATCCTTGGCCTATACTCAAAACCTATATCAGTATTACTCCCCCTTTGCGATGGCCCAACATGATACAAAGCTTACCGTAAATATACCACTAAGGTGATCCTCCTCGTCAATGACAAGTACGCAATCGCTGCGCTTGGCTGCCATCAGCTGTGCTGCTTCCATAACCAGAAGGGTTTCACGAACTGTCAATGCTTGTGTTGGTCGCAATGCTGAAACGGTGCCTGCAATCTTCTTCGTTTGTCGTATACGAGTAGAACCACCACGCTTCTTGGAAAGCTCTTGCTCGATCTTTTTACGAATGGCCTAAGAGGGGGAATACCACCACGACGATTAGAGATGCCAAGTAGTAGTTCAATCGACCCATTTGCATAAAGTTTACCTCATCCTTCTTCGACTGACGTTGTCTACTTTGCGTTGACTGGACATCGAGGGTAGAGTTTGTGTCGTTATGGTTATGGTGATGATGATGGTGATGATGGTGTTGTGAAGTGCTTAATGAGCTTGTTGGACGCATGGCCGACCTTTTGCTTTGAGTGGATACGACTGACATGAGAGAGAAAAGATGTGAGAGAAAGGAAAAGAAAGGGGGACAACGGGAGGTAAAGATTGGGTGATGGGGGAAATATCCTTATATTTGCCACGCATGCATATCCTCTCGCTCGTTCTATACCCCACACCTCCGCACCCACGAGGTTTTGTGTACCTGGCATTTTGATGATGGTGGATACATGGATAAAGAAGAAGGAAAAGAAAAGAAAAAAGAGGATCCTCTGCTACTATCTACTCGAAACTATCACCCCTTAATCGTGTCATTCCCTTCACATGGCCGGTCAACAGTTATCCTCTCTACATCTATCTTTGCTCTATTCCATATCTATCCGGTCAGCTGTGAAATTTACAAAGTAATGATGACCTGATGTTTTTAACACGCCACACGCACCTTGGTATGATTTGATCAAGGCTTCCACGCAATAGCATTTAGCAAGAATATGGTTATGGAAAGATGAAAAAAACGCTGCATGTTTCAAGTATGTTGGTATTCTCGACCATTATCCAAGTTACACATGTGCTGCACGTTAAGGAAAGGGGGGGCTTTGAAAGATGCAAAGTAGTAAAGTACATAGAAAAGAGAGCTCCATCGATGATGATCTTCCTCTTGTTTTATTATGCTAAAGACCCAAATCACATGAATGAGTGGAAAACAATGATAGACATGCTCATTCTTGTGGGTAACTTTTTATATACAGTATGTTTCTGGAAAACGCTATAGGGTATAAGGATGTGCCACGCGAGCCGAGAACTCGTGTCAGTCATCGGAACGATTTCGGAATCGTGCTGTTGCCAACGTTGGACGGTATGTCACACAGCCCATGTATCAAAGAGCAAGACATAATGTGCGCATGTGCACTTTGCTAATCCGTTACATCCGATGCTCTCTCTCTCTCTCTCTCTCTTTTTTTTGTACATCCAAGGTTTATTTTCGGACCGACATAGGAAAGGAGCCGATCTATTGATTACACGGTGCCAGCTGCACGACGTAGATACCCTCTTTTAATCAACGTTGAACCAGCTCTAGATGATGTTGTGCGATCTTGAAACCAGTGAACTGGCAAGATAGATCTTTTATAGGTTTGCTTTTTATAATACGCGAGCCATCCTATGTATGTCCCATTCAACCTAATGATCCGATTACTGCTAAATGGATTATACCAGGTATTCGGATAAGATGTTGACTATTGATAATAACTTTTTGAGTGTGCCTATATTTGAAAACCCTAGCAACTCCGTCATTGTCATGTTGCATGAACATCGCCAGGATAGTATTAGTGGCTCGATCATCCTATATCTCACGTGTTGTTGATTAAGATCAGACTCTGATTTATGGCGTACATAACAGACACAAACATAAAATTAGATGCACAAGAGAAGGGAAAACGCGGATGATCGGTCGGGAACAAGAATTCGTGGCGGTGGCGGAGCGAAGGAAGAAAAAGGGAGTATGAACATGTTACTACTACGCTAACTGTACAAAGATGTTGGTATGCTGGCAAATAGATGTATGAGGAAGGAAAAAAGTGAGTAAGGTTCTAAAGGATAAGGCACATTCGTCTTTTTTTTATCAAGGATAGCCTTGGTTTACTGGCTACATGTGCAGCTGTGCGAACTACAGAATCCACATATAGGTTTGTTTTGGCGCTGCATTCGCAGTATTTTGCTTTGATTTCTTTTGCAAGATGTGCACCCTGTATACAACAAACGTTAATCATCCACTACAATAGGATCATTTGCTTCTTTTTCATCCTATCAATACCTGCTCATAGCTGATTGTACTCCTTGCCTTCCCTCGTAGATCGATCTTGAGACCCACTAATACCCGAGCAACATCTCCTCCACAGTAATGCTTGACTTCAGGTAACCACTGGTATGATTAGGGGCTTGTGAGTGATCACAATGAGTGATCTATGGTATCATTTGGTCAATTTACCTTATCTCGGACGTTTTGGAAAGATATGGGATTATCAACAGCAAAGCATATGAGCACAACATCCGTTTCAAAATAAGATAAAGGTCGTAATCGATCGTAATCTTCTTGACCAGCTGTGTCCCACAGTGCAAGTTCAACCGATTTGGAATTACTAAGCTCGATCCGTGTAATGTAATTTTCGAATACTGTAGGTAGATAATGCTATGCGTTGTTTAAGTTAGCTGACATTGGGTATCCAAGCGATATATACCATGATGGCATTTACCTCTGGAAATTTGCCCTTTTGATAAACAATTAAAAGGCTTGTTTTTCCGCAGGCACCGTCACCGATAATGACAATCTTTTTTCGAAGAACGCGAGGCATGGCGTTGATGATTATAAGGAGGAGACAAAGAAAGAGAGAGGTGTTTGGGGGGATGGAGATGAGAAAGAGCAAGATGAAATGAAAACAAAAGAAAGAAAAGAAAAGAGAGAGAAAGAGAGCAAAAGATGTGTGCCGATTTGGTAGGTGAACCAGTAAAAAGAAAGATGTATTGGGTTGACAGCTAATGGTACCTGTTACTCTCATTCACTTTTACCTTTCTTTTCATCCTCCTCACCCCCCACGTCCGTTGTTTTCACCCTTTTCGATGGTGTGCACCTTTTGATGGCCGATTGTGTAACATCGGGAACCGGCATGTACGGCTCGGCATCCTTGCGTTGTTTTCTTGTCCAATTCAGGCTGTTTGTTTGCCTCTTGCTCCAAGTTTACAATTGATGTCACTTTTTGTACCCGCGGGATCAGCCTACCACTCACATCTCGGGATTTATCACTGCACTTACCGCTCCGCACCATCCCATATTTCATCTCCAATAATGTTGTTGTTTTCATCACTTGATGTATTATACCTTTGTCCATGACTTGTTTGGGTGATTATGATACACCAACACAACGCCAAGAATGAACAATGTTTTTTCGCTAGCCTAAACGATAAAGATTTTATGCATGTTACCCTTACAAAGCTGAGCTATCATCCATCATCGTTTGTTCCTGTGCACATGTCAGCTTGCGCCACATTCGTCTCATTTGAGTTTGACAGGTTGACAAAGGGTCTTCCAGAGCTGTCATTGTTCGTCGTATCATAAAGCTTACTCAACAACTTGAACAATTGCTTGTCTCTATTTTGGTTCTACTAATAAGAAGGACATCCACTACGCCTTGCTATCGCTTTCAAAATTTACGCGAGCATAGGCATCTTTATCGTGGCTATAGCATATACTTTATTTATACCATCCTTCGGTAGTGTAATGAAGCAAGCCGTGTAAATAGCTGTGTAATCATGGAGAACATGAATCGAAATGGATTAGACGCATTAACGGTTACACAAATCCTACGTTGCATCCAGCAGACGCATGATAGGCTACTTGCAGCAGCTCATTACTTTGGGGCACGCACACACATACACATACGCATACACATTACACACACGTGCTGATGACTCCAAGATAACCCTCCAATAATACCATCACAAATAGTGTATCAACCTTTTAATCGCATGTCGTATTGTACAAGATGATATGTGTAGATGCAATAGATAATGTAACCCACATGCACACCTCTTCTCCGATCATTACTCTCTCTATAACCCAACCCATGCACATCATCATCTCCTGAACTCGGTGGAAGAAAAAAAATTGACGATGAAAAAATGGAAGCGGAGCAAAATGAGCCTGTTCCTAGTAATAGTAGAAAGCAAAACACATCTATATCATGACACCTCTGCTAGCTAGACCTGGAGAAATGCCGGTGGGAGTGTTTGACATGCTCATACCAGGTTGTTGTTGTGGTTGTTGCTGCTGCGGCCGAGGTTGTGATGATGGACCACTTTGGGTTGATTGCTGTTGTGGTTGGGGTTGTCGTTCTTCCAAAGCATCCCATGGCAACGTCCATTCCCGCTTCACTTTTGACCATGATGTTGGATCAAAGATAACATAAACTCCCCGATCAACAGGATTTGGTGTTGTCCGCCGCCATCCTTGTACTGGTCGACCATTCTCATCAGTCTCCTTGGTGAGCCACATGCCCAATTCCTTATGATAACGCCAATTCCGTGCATATCTACAAAACGTCATCGTCAATCGAGATGATCGAATCCATACCTCTTTTTTCTCCTTGAGTAGAATTTTCCTTCACCTTCCCCCCTTACTTACAACTCCTGTGCTGCTGCCTCCTGTGCTACATCCTTTGGCATTGAATAAAAGACATAAAACAGAATTTCATCTGAAAATGTCCGCATACGTTGATGGGCTGGTGGCGTGGCGTGTACTGTACGATAACATGGAGGAAGATAATAGCCCGGCTCCACATTCAAACCTGGTGGCGTTTGCGTATCTGACCATGGAGAAATAAAAGTCGAATATATAGAGCTGCAAAACAACAACATGGTTGGTTTGGGGATGTTGGATTCCACATATGGCCGCCTTTGGGGTTCCAATTCACTTACTCTGCAGTGTTCAAATCCAAGCCTAACGTTGTCAAATCACTGCCGAGTGCCAGCATGCTCCGATCTGGATCCGTCATCCTTATTACTCCCAGTAATCCTAATAGCCCGTACGAATCGCCCGATTTGACATCACTATTGCTTCCACTACTTGCTCCACTAACAGGTGTTGTTGATGATGTTTTGCCATCTTGTTCTCGTGCAAGAGAGGATCCAACGGATTTTCTTGATTGCGATGGCGTTGATTCGCCTGCATTGCTGCCACGGGACTAGATTTATATGTTAACAAGTACGTCATGTAAGGAGCAATTCATTCATTGTATGATCTTACCCATTGAGATGATCCAAGCATGTCGTTTCTAATACCTGGTGCACCATACTGTTTACTACCTACAATGCCAAATTAGCATATGCGTTGTATGATGCCTTCCATTATTACTTACTTGACATGGAATCTCGTGCTGATGCATAATCCCATGGCTCACCACCTACAGCACCTTTTGATGCAAGTGAGTTTGCCGCTGAAAGATCGTTGCCAAAAGGTGTTGCTGCTCCTGGTGCAGTGGAGGAACTTCTTAAAGCAGGGAACTCGTCCATTGAAAACGTTCTAGGTGCCAGACTTCGAGCATTCGCGAGAACATGGTGATCGCCATGACCAGCGTAAGCGGCAGCTGCTGCTGTTGCACTATGTACAGGTTGATAGGATCCTAATGGCGATGACCCAGAGACCACACCAAACTCGTTTGCTACTGCTGCATTACTATTTCCTGCTGCTGTTACTGCTGAACCGGTACCAAGAAGTGCGTCTTGAAGGTGAGTTGAATTAGAGGGTGTGGATGGATAATTCGCGAATCGATTGGATGGTAAAAGCGATGAGGAAGGAGGTTGAGGAGGTAAAGAACCAGCATTAGGTGTTCGAGTACTGGATGCTGGTGAGCCTAACGCGGGAAAGTCGTTTAAATCAATGCCTGTGTTGGGGCGAAACATTGACGCAAGAGGTGAGAGGGAAAGGAAGAGAAGAAAAAGGCTACAGTGACAAGAGGCATCCCATTATCTCTCCCAAAAAGTCACGTTTTGTTTTCCACCCGAACTAAACCTCTCTCTCTCTTTCTTACACTTATACATAACACACCACACCACACCCACTCGCTCTCGCTCTCGCTCTCTCTTCACCTTTGTACACCATGGCATCGACACATAGCGTATATCTCTTTCGTCACATTCAGACCAACCAAGTCATTGTCTCCACCAAACATTTCGCAAAGGCAAGCAAGCGTTTAGTTTCCCTTTCTTCTTTTTTCTATTCCTCCTCATTCCCATTGCTAATTCGGTTCCTTGTTTATAGACTCGCAACCTTCGTCAACTCGACAATGCGACACGTCCTGTACGCCTGAGAAAGGATTTGTGGCGACCTATGCTTGCACTGACAGGTTTTACAAACGAAAAATCGGCACAAGCAGTGACGGATGCACTTTTACAACGTTCAAAGGCACGACAATTCGACTTGAAGACATCAGCAGAACACTTGTCTACACCCAAGCGTACACGTGGTCCTGTTGAAAGTGACCTTGTTGAAAAATCAGTCTTATCACTTCAGGAAGCTCTCGAATCAGTCGCACCAAAGCATTTCAGCCCCGAGACTAAGTTGTCAGCATTATGGGAACAACCTCGATTCTTGGAGATGGTACAAGAAGGAAAACAATGGCCTGCATTCGTGGAGCATGGTCAATTGGAACTCAAGAACAATCGCTTCGTTTCAGCATAGATATCCATTCATAGTGTATGTCAACCAAAATCCCATTTTAATGCAATAGACAATCTTTTCTGAATACAGCATGTTCAATTCATCCCATATCATTCATATCCATTTGCGATCAATAAGACCATTCCAGCATTTATTGATTGAGTTGCTATATCATTGCCAATGTAATGGTATTAAGAGTGAGAAGACCATACCCAGTATACAATAACGTAGCTCTATTTTTTTGAGGAAACAGACGCATGTTCTTTATTTTTCGAGAGCTCTATATCATCTAGAGCGCTAGAGAGAGAGAGAGCACATATAGAGCAAGAGTGAGCAGGAGAAAAAAACTGGTTGGAGCCGGATGTTCACCAACATTCTTCAAGACCCAATGGTAGTTGTCGCAACATCCAACATGGTCCACGATGGCCTCTGCAACCTGATAGTCCTCTAAATCACTTGACCAATCTCCAAGGCGGATCACCTGGCAGAAAAGCTCATCCGGGGCTACATCGATACGATGATATGCGTCTATGTATCATAGTTAATGGATGACTACAATCAGCTATAATGTAATACTCACGTCGAAGAATTCACCAGCTGTTCGTGTCTCAAATCGCTAAGGTCGATCTTGTCCTCCTCGGCAAATTGCTAATAGTAACCAATATCACGTACACATACAACATCAAATAATTAATCGATACAATCCTTTTGAATCCAGTAACAACAATACCATAGGAGGGTTACGACGTTCTCGGCAGGTAAGGCAGCTCTTGTAAGCATCCTAATAGCCCACGAAAAGCTCAAACGGTTTGTTGGTCTTGCAAGAGGTACGATAATAAACCACTCAAAGGGAACAAAGGTCGATAAGAGTCGATGTCGATCACGAGTGCTTGCTGGAAGGTATAGGATTGGATCCCATACGCGCTTCTCTCGTAACCTGGCTACGGAGGACTTCTTCAAGGTCTTGATGTGGGCGTATTCTTGGTCATGGTAGCTGTTGTTGATGTATTGGATTGGGTGACATGGCAGTGGGGCTTGTCGTGTCAAAAGAGAATAGTCGCGCTAAAGCTTGTTCCTTTTCAGGTTTTCCCAACTGTTGAAAGAGTGGTGTACGCGTAGCAAAGTATCCACAACCGATGCCAGCAAAGTCGATGGTACAATCTCATGAGCGCCAACAACAAACTTGAATTCAAGAATGCGTGCTCATAACTTCATGGAAGGTATCTCTGCAAGTGCCTTGGCGGTGACAGTTGGCGTATGGGCTTCAGGATCGGTGACAATGGTGGTCAAACGAATGTATCGGTCTTGAGCACGTTTCAGGATCTTGAGGTGTGTTGTTGGCTGCAATATGTAAAGTAGCAATAAAGCGTGTGTGGAAGATCGACCGAAATTGAAGAGAAAAGTCCGCTCCCCTCCTGTGACTTCATTTTGCCCCTGTTTGTACTACGATCACTTTCCATATATGGCAATTTTGTGGTATATATATGCACCCGCGCGTTGAAAAACAAGGAAGGAAGCAACAGACCATCTCGGATAGTATAGTGGTCAGTATCCCCGCCTGTCACGCGGGAGACCCGGGTTCAATTCCCGGTCCGAGAGCAAGATCTTTCAATCCTTCAATTTTCTTTTTGTTTTTTCAACTTTTTCGTGGTCACGTGATTCAAATCCATCTTCATCTTTGCCATACATCATGTTTTGGAAGCGAGGGATGTAGTGGATCTCAAATCATAAGATGTTTTATCGATTGACGGTATTGTTCTACAGTAACCATATACATTTATGACATCCAGGGTATGTGAATCGCATCAAAATAGGTTTACGTTCTCTTTAGTCTTATGATAGAATCTACAAAGAAAAGCAATTGATGCAATAGTACTACCATGCATACATCGGGTACATGAATGGCGAAAGTTGGTCTGGCGTAAGTACTCATAGCCAAACAAATAGGCAGCGATAATACTTCTTGAAGTTGTATGTTGCATTGTTCATTAGATACATGTACCTCTTGATAATTGTATGAATAGCCATTCATGCATGATGGATCAGGGACAATGCAACGCTTACCAATGCCTCATTTAACAACTACCATGACATTCCAATTAAGATGATACGATGGCTCCTGTGTTGCTATGGCAATCATGTATGCACCATCTGCATGATCAAGGTAGTAGCAGTATTGAAAGAAAAGAGGTTGGAACTTCCATAGACTCATGGCCAAGGATAGAGGATCCATGACAGCATACCTAGTAGTAATCATCCATGCATGTGTTCTCTAGCATAAAGTTCGCTTACAATGGCGGTATAGCCAAGGATCATTATTGCTCACCCTATCACAGCCAGCCAATATTCCTGATAAAGCTCATTGTTTAGAAGACAATCAATGGAAGATGTAATAAAGGAAGTCTTGGTAATGATAAACCGATGTTGTTTATTGTTTATGCAAATGAACAACCAACTATGAGCAGAGAGCTAATTTTAAGCGGGGACAGGGGCAGTGGTGTCAACAACTTTGTCTCTTTGTTCCCCTCTTTATTGAACTTCCACAATGGCCGATTGCAACCCAGGCACTGCACGCGAGTACGTGGAATCCTACGTCAAAGACCAAGATCTCGACAGTTTTCTTTCTGAGGCACAACCACAATACGATCCCTCCAAAAAGGCACCTGCCAATGCGTCGCCACAGCAACGATCGGAAGAATCCACTGAGAGTGAGAACAAGTCATCGTTACCTTTGGGATACAATCGGCATCAACCCACTATGAATCCAATGGCAACCGGTGAAGAGCAACAAGAAAAGAAGCAGCAGAAGAAGGAGGAAGAAGAGATACCCCAAAGGCCCAAGATTATGTGGGTTGTGCGAGACTTTATGGATCAAAAGCGAGAGATACATGAAAAGGCCATCGACAACTGTGCCGATTTACATGTGGATTTATTGACCTGCTTCAAAGATGGTAGCTGGTGGGACAAGGCCAAGATGTGTGAGCATCAAAAGCAAAAGTTTTGGAAGTGCTATCAGAGCCAAAAGGTGAGGATTGAATCATCCTAGGAGGGTCTCTATCGGATATTGACACAGTATACATTGAATACATAGGACTTTTTGAAGAAAGCAAACTACAAAGGACCTGTCAGCACACCCGAACATGACAAGGAAATTGAGCGAGAGGCTATACTTCTTTCTAATCAACATCGGGAGACAACAAACAACAAGCAAAATGATGATGATTCCGCATAACGGAAAATATCCCGCACGCCACCAAACTCTCACTCTCTCCTTTATCCTTTGTATTTCTTCCCTGCATTTGTACAGTCATGTAAATTCTCCAGAATAGACAAGTCATTATAACCCTCCCCACAAGCCAAGCTTTTTATTTGTGTACGGGCATGTTTCAGGCACACTACCTTTTTTTTACCTGTTTGTTGTTGGTGGGTAATGAGGGATATTATAAAAGGGTGGCTATCATCGATGATTGAATCCACTTATCACTCTTCTTCTTTATTACTCTTATACACACGATGAAGCATAGCCTTCTTCACAGCACTACTATTGTTGCGATCTCCATGGCGCTGGCCGTCACTGCATCGCCACTCCATACACCTGCTGGAAACAATCCTCTTACTGCTGTCAATCTCATGTCCCCTCAAGAAGTCGCTGGTAGTGCTGCACCTCCCTTCCCTGATACTGTCACACCCAATGTTGGAAAGGAAGCTGGTGAAGAGGAAGATGAACAAGATGAAGACAATGAAAATGAGGCCGAACCCACAAGCTCTTCTACTACTGGTACCATGACTCCTAAGGCTACTTGGTCACCATCAACATCCATGTCAGAAGATCCTCAACCTACCGATCCTCCACCAAGCGAATCATCATCCTATTCTTCTTATTCTTCAACAACGGCTGAACCAACATCGACCGATGAACCAACTTCCACGCGTGACATCCTTCCAGTGAGCTCGCCTGATTATCTCCCTGATTTTGAAGCTCCCGATTTCAAGTCTCGTGAAGACATTCCTACTGGTCCTCTCACTCGTGGTGAAATCGAATATGGTATCGATGAATATCCTGAGCCATGGAAGATACCTGAAGAAGGCCATCCAGAGATTGAAGCTGCTATGAATGCCATTGATTGGGACCATGTGCCAAAGATTAATCGTCGTTCAGCTGACAAGGGTACAGGTGATCTCAACATGGATGATTATGATGTGGGCGATGATACAGCATGCTGGTGGAGTGCTACTGGTTGTGTCAAGCCCAAGGTGAATTATCTTCCAGAGGATGTGTACATGTGCTCCGATGCCGGTGATTGGGGATTGGTAAGTTTCTTTGAACTACTAAGGTTGTTGAGATGATACTTATTTATTCTTTTTCAGACATTCGATGATGGTCCATTGAACCCTCGACCCGAAGTGATGGATAAGAATGATGGCGAGGATCCTTATGCAGAGCCTTATCTTTATGATCTCTTGGCCAACACCAACCAATCCGCAACCTTGTTTTGTAAGTACTACGCTTTTTGTGTGTGCATGATGATTGTGTAACTGACAACATTGACTTTTTAGATGTGGGTTCCAATGTCATTCAATATCCCGAAGCTGCCAAGCGTGCCTTTGATGCTGGACACACTCTTTGCTTGCACACATGGTCTCATAATGCCATGACAACCTTGAGCGACGAACAAGTGGTTGCTGAACTTTATTGGTCATTGCGTGCTGTCAAGGAAGCCACCGGTGTCACTTCCAGGTGCTGGAGACGTAAGTAGTTGTTGATTGGCTTTTTTGAAAGGGACCTTTTATTGATGAATGCGTGTATATACATATGTAGCTCCTTATGGTGATGTCGATGATCGTGTGCGTAGCATTGCTCATCAAATGGGCTTGCGTACTGTATTGTGGGATCGTGATTCTCAAGACTGGAAGCTGGAATCCATGAGCAACAAGGGCTCCATTCAACCAGAAGAGGTGGACAACTACTTTACCACATGGATCAACGACGCAAGCGGCAACGAAGAACATGGCCACATTAGTTTACAACATGAACTCAACGAGATGACGATTGGTATGGCTGAAAAATGGTTGCCCAAGATGCAAGAAACTTTCAAGGTTAAGCCCATCCACGAATGCACATCCATGGAGAACCCATACTGGGAGCTCGATGAAAAGGATAATGAACAAGAAGGCGTAGGCGAAGAAGAGGATGTCGAAGAAGAAGAGGAAGAGGAAGAAGAAGAGGAAGACGATCTCGATTGATTGAAGCAAATCAAGGATTTCCATACACTTTTATATTAGTCATCGTTTATGTACATTCGCTATAATGATAAAACTAGTCTTTGGCTGTGCCGAAGGGATCTGGTCCAAACACATTGGGTTCTTCAGGAATGATTGAGTGATGTAGTTGTTGGAAAAGAATTGTTTCAAGCTTGCTTTCCACTTCTTGGCGATCAATGTCATAGTGATTGGTATATTTAGCGATGGTGTTGTCATCCACAGGTGCTGGATTGTAAGATGCATCATCGGTGGGTATAGGTGGTAAGCTGGTAAATACCTAAAATCACTTTCTTTTTAGCAAACAGGATGCTTGTATGATTGCGTTGTTGTCATACCTCTCGTGCCAGCGTATAATTAAAGTTGACATCAGGAACGTACTTGCTGCTAAGATTCTCCAGCACCTTTTCAATCGATCCATATCGACGAATCATGTCATATGCGCGAATGGGGCCAATACCATGGATTGTAGCTGAAAAGTCGGTGCCACACAGGATGCATAAATCGATGAATTGGTCACGTGTCAACCCCATCTCATGCCTAGCAACAAGAGGATCCACTTGTAATATGGGTCGTGTTCGTGCGAAGAAATAGCGTAGAATGGGAGCATCACCAAATACAACCGTGTCCATATCTATATATAAATGGTTGCGTGAGTGACGCATTCTCATCTTATGGAAAATGGATTACCTTCTGTCACGGTAGCATTGCTTCGACCTTCTTTGGCCAACTTTGCGCACATGGCTTCTGCTTCATGGTTCTCGATAGTCAAACATGTAAATCCAACCCCTCGAAGAAACTCGATGCATTCATCTCGCATATCCTGAGTAATCCGAATCGATCGCTTTTCTTTCATATAAACATGCTTTAGTATCCTTTCCCCCTTTAAAACCAACACATGACGTACCTACCTAATGATCCCACCATATGTATATTCGCATCCTTTACATGGCGTAAAACGGTGGCAGCGCTGTGGATACGTTCACGTATGAGAGATGACATGAGTTGATGTTCTTGCTTTGACAAGTTGCGGACTGTGGATGTATATCTTTCTTTATCATCAGCTGTCATCATGGCTGTTCTCAAGTCTCGTGCAATCAATGCGAGTTTGCGTTCGATCCTTTCCTCAGCAGCGACATCCTCTTTGACATGTTGTTCAATCACTTGGTCCGAAGAATGCTGTAGTTGCTCTTGTTGCCGTTTCTCAAAGATGTTGGTGGTTGTTTCTTCGAGTTCATCCAGCGTATCACCCAATTCATCCAGTATACGTGCTGCTGCAGCATCTGAAATGTCCCTGTAGCTATCAGCCACGTCCGCCCATAGCGCAAGCCGTTGCGATCGCTCATGTTCGTATGATAGTGAATGCAGGACCTTCTTTCGCTGTCGTTCACGTCGTTTGTGTTCATATTCCTTGGCTTTGATACGCACTGATCCGTCAAATACAAAGATGGGCTTGATGCCAACCAACTGGCAAAATCGCGCCATGCTGTAGAACCCATAAATGTGACGACATGGGTGGGGCTCGTCTCCATAAACGAACTTGTTCAAGTGACAACTGGCATCGAAAGCAATGGATTGGTGTGCAAGTGATGAAGCAGAGATTGTGCGTAAAGAAGAAGGCGCGTATCGACGTAGGAGTCCTGTCAAACCATGAACGCCCATGTTGTAAAGTAGAAATTAAAAGAATGCTCTCCGTTCCCCCTCCCATCAAAATAGAATACAACATTCCCATTTCTTATCATTCAATATAATGTTTGTACAAGGTGATAGCTTTATCATTGTTGCTTTTTTCTTCTTCTTCTAATACGATGCACGTGATTCATGCAATCCCATAGTAACAAGGAACCTAGCTGCATTATCCAATTCCTTCTTTTGGCGTGCCTTGTCCCACTTGAGTTCCTCAGCCATGATTTCAACCACGCGCGGTAATGCTTGATAAGCAGCTTCAGCATTCAAAAACGCCAAACGGGTACGACGTGCTAATACATCCACGGCAGTGCATGCATACTCTTCACGACAAGCGTATCGCACTTCAGCTTCAATATAAGGATAGTTCGGTGTGATGCGTTTTCCATACGTCGGCCATGTCATGCCTGTAGGATCACTGATCAAGCCAATCACCCATGCACGATCACCATAGCTATTAGCCAGATGGACTGCCACCTCCGTATCCATTCCAAATTCCTGGATTAATCGAATAAACATGGTCGTGTTGTATCCTTCGCTTCCTAGCAACATCACTTGCTCCGTTTGACATTTGGATGTCGTAGGCTTGAGATCAAATACTTCAATGGCCTTATCCACCGTTTCCTTCGCCATGGCTCGGTACGTCGTCCATTTGCCACCAGCAATCGTAAGTAGCTTGTCGTCACTGACATGGATCACATGGTTACGCACAAGTGACTCGGTGTTTTTGGCATGTGGATCACGCACCAATGGACGAATACCAGACCAAGCAGCCAATACATCGCCACGACGTACTTTGACATCTATCATGAACGAGTTTGTATGCATATACTCACTCTAATCCTTCCCTTTGGTAGATTTACCTTCGCTCAAGTATCGTGATACTTCATCCAAAATCCACTTGATCTCATCTTCCTTGGGCATTGGATTAGGCGTTACTTCCGTGGGCGAGTCTACAATACAATACATGCTGCATGTTTAGTATCACTCCTTGTTGAATGATGATAGAATAAACGAACCTGTTGTGCCTGCAATGGTACTTCCTTCCCATGGTAGGAAGAAAATAACACGGCCATCACTAGTAGCAGGATCCAATAGACCCATGTTGCGTGGGCTGTAGTAATTTGGAAGAATGACATGTACACCTGCTGATGGAGCGACAATATCAGGGGTCTTTTCATCATCCATCTTGCGTACCCCATCTGTAAATGGACCCGTTGCATTGATCACTCCCTGCATGATTCATCTTAGTGACACATAGAAAAGTCACGTTTCATTGTATAATACTCATACCTTTGCCTTGACTTGCCATTCTTCTCCTGTAAAGGTATCTCGTACCTTGGCACCGCAATTCATACCATTCTCATCCTTTATCAAGCTGATCACCTCACAGTGGTTGAGAACAGTCGCACCATGATACACAGCTGTCATTGCCAAAGCCACATTCATCCTTGCGTCATTATGGTGACCTATATAGCGACAGGTTAATAAAACCATCCTTTGAATGGCTTTCTCCCTCGACGCCTTTACCATCGTAATAAACAAGTGCACCAACGAGCTCATCCTTTCTTAGCATAGGGAATGCCTCCAGAGCCTTGGATCGTGTTAAAAAGTAGCTGCTCTCGAGTGCTTCACGGCCTGCAAACAAGTCGTACATCTTGCATCCAACCCAGTAATAAGGGATTTGCCACCATCTAGAATAGAGAATAGGGTAAGGATGTGACCATCATTTCCAGATCGGGGATATCGATAAAATGATGCATGCAGTAGTAGTAGTAGTAGTAGTAGCACAACATCATCTTCACCCTGACGACACAAAGGGCGGGGGGGGGGAGGAAGGCAACTTACTTGTACACGGGTAACATGATGGGCAACTGGCCTGCGAGATGCGGGGCAATATCCAAAAAGATCTTTCGTTCATGAAGTGCTTCAACCACCAGCTTGTATTGTTCATAGTCTAATTCGGTGATCGCCTTTTGCAGATAACGTACACCACCATGAACCAATTTTGTGGATCGGGAGGAAGTGCCTATGTAAAGTATGTGTAAATCATTGCATTGACGTATAGAGATATAGAAGTATACCTGATGCAAAGTCATCTCGTTCCAGCATAGCAACACTAAGGCCACGTGTTGCAGCATCCACAGCTGTACCAGTACCTGTGGCGCCACCGCCCACCACCAATAGATCAAATTCCTTTTCCTTGGATTGTTGTATCAGTTGTTCACGAGAGGGTGCTTTCCAAAGTGGTTTGTCGGTGGGCAATAACGTGGTAGCTGTTGGTCTGGGTTGAGTTGCTGCTTCGGCATAAACGATCTTATCCCGTGGCGGCAATAAGAGAGGATGATGATGATGACGACGAAGTTTGTCATGATAGATATAGACTGTTGTTCCTGTGGTAACTGCTGTAGCTGCTGCACATGCCCATAACTTTTGCGTGCGTGTATATGACCTCCACATAGTATTGACGTGTGTATGTGTGTGGGATAAAAAAGAAGGAAAAGAGGAAAAAGAAGTGTGTAAACAGAGTTTAAGCACATTGTAAATTCCCGACCAGGTGGCGTGTGCACGCGCGCGTTGATTGATGTCTCATGATCTTCTCCTGCAGAAACAGCCTCCTCATCTTGATGCCTCCTTTCCTACAAACGCATTCACATCACATTGTTCAATGCGCCTTGCTAAGTCAACCTGCAACTCCATTCAACGTTGCCATTTCTCATACCAGCGACATTGGAGCCCCTGAAGTACGCTTTCGCAAGAGCTGATGACGATCGTAACCCCCACACGATGACTTGTAGTAGTGTATGCTGTTGCGTCAAGGAGTGCTCAAATCAAGAGATGAATAGCCATGGATACAGAGAAACAAGCGTTCCATCATTTTAGCTTTGACAGCTCTGCTCCCGACAAATGCATAAATCACCGCTGTTCATTATTCATGCACCCTCCTCATTCCCCCAACTTCATTGTGTGCTTTGTATTAAAGGAAAAAGTGTGGCTGTAACAATGACTATATCTGATCCAAATTACCAGAATTGATAAAGACATCTTACCACTCTAACCAAATCATTCACCTTGAGTTTTATATGCGAACCACCTTTGAGATCAAGAGGAAAACGCTCCACATTACAATTAGTAGAGGTTGCTAATGATTCCCAACCTTGTGTCATGTACCTTGAGAATTGAATAGTAGTTCACTTTAAAGCCAATAGCAACATTTGATTTAGTAAATCATAGCTATAATAAAAACGCGAATGCTAAATGGATCCGGATAAGTAAGACCATTTCACACCGGCAACGGGAGCTTAGATCCCCCGACATCTGCATCATTGGCTGGCCGACAAATGCTACCCGCGGGTATCACAGCATAATGACAGGTGCGCAGTGCTTTTCTAAAATCTGATAATTCGCAAGCAGCAGTGTAACGTGGGAGCTGTTAATGAATCAACATTGGACCTTAGTCATATCTTTATGTCTTATCTGGTTATTCACTCAATCAACCTTTCTTTCGCTTTTCTTTTATCTAACCATCACACACAACACCATCACGACAATGGCCGACGAAGTTATCTTGGTATGTCGTTTCTTCCGTTACAAGGGTGTTGTATGCTTAAAAACTTATGCATGGGGTGTTGTGTATTCGCGCGAATATGTAGCATTGGTATCCTGCTTCTCCATTTAGCCAAAAAGTGGCCTGGGCACTCAACTACAAGAATGTGGATTACAAGACGGTGACCATTCCAGTGATTGAACCAAGACCCAAGAGACGTCCTTTGGATGGTGGCTATCGTAAGACGCCTATTCTTCAGATTGGCAACCATGTTTATTGTGACAGCAAGCGTATTTTGGACGAGATCGAGAAAAGGTAGGTAGCGTTCAACAATTTTCACGCACAGCCTCCTTCTCCTCAGGTGGACTCACGTGGTACACGCGCCAACAGATATCCCGAGCCTTCATTGTATCCCAAGACAAGAGGGGGTCAGCCGTCTGAGGCCCTTGGTAAAGGTCTTGCTCGTTGGTTAGATTCAACCTTGTTTATGACCATTGCCTCGCAATTTGATACCTCCCTTTTACCTGAAAAATTCCTCAAAGATCGTGCAAGCTTTGCTGGCCAATCCGCCTTTTCGGGTGATCCTTATTTGCATTCTGAATTGTATGGTCAGCTGGAACTTGCACAAAAGCTTGTTCCCACCACCAACAACAATGAGACCTTATGGATCCTCGACACGCCTACTTTGTCCATGGCCGATTTGCATTTAGCCATGGATAGCTTTTTTGCTACCAATGTATTGGGTGGTGACTTTATTGAACGCTTCCCTCGTCTCTCTGAGCACATGGATCAAGTCGTGGCAGCCATTCAATTTTCTCGGACCGAAGAAATGCCGGAATTGACAGCTGATGAAGCTCTTGCTGTTGCAAAGAAACATCGTGGTGCTAATGCTGTTATTGAGAATCCAGTGTCAGAGTCCTCCAAAGTGACTGTGGGTCAACTCGTATCCGTCATCCCCACCGATACTGGCAAGGTACCTTCCATTGGCAAGTTGCTTACTCTTAATACACAAGAGATTGTGATTGAGCATACGAATACCGAAGCAGACGTCCAATCCATTATCCATTTCCCCACCATTGGACATGTTGTTATGCCTGTAGCTCAAGAGAAACTTTAATTTACAAAGATAGTGAACAAATGGTATAAATACAACAGAAGAAGTGATGATGAATCAATGAGTGAATGTAGGGTGGTGACATGAGAGTGAGTGAGTGAATGGATATATGTATATATATAAAAGTCGTTGCCTTGATGATAAAAGTAGCATAGGTTATAACTTGTAGCATTTGCCATGTTCTCGTACGGTTTCTTCGACAATGAGATCAAGCCATAGGAAACGTGCTTGACTAGGCATCACCATGACGGGCATATCAAGCGCTTCGCGTTCATGAACATTTTCGGTAGCACCGCTCCTACGGCCATGTCGATATAATTCTACTGCTTGATCGGTGACATGACAAGCGAGTGACTTGTAGAGACGTAAGGGAATGCCTTTGATAGGTTGTTGCTTTAGTGCGTGGATGACGGCAGGGTCTGTTGTGGATGGATTGACAAAGGCGCGGAATAGAATCAATTCGCATGAATCAGCTGTCAATGCAAAAGAAGGTATTTCAAGAACATCGCCATGAAGTTTTGCAATAGAACCAAGTGCTCGACCATAGCTTGATGTATCCATAAGATGATTGCATGCTTCTCCCAATGCTAACACGAAGCGATGAATTTGTTGTGCTTGTTGTTGTTGATGTCGTTGGCTACCATAATAGTAATAATCATCCGAATAGACATTGTCAGTGGTGTTGCCACCGCCAATTGTGCCAAGTCCACGACGTCGCATTGGATCATCCGCGTCGTGATGGATTGCAAGGGAGGATACGGTATCCAAGGAGTAAGCACGCCAATTGGCTACACATGCCTTTTCTTCATCACCCAATGGTTCTAATCGATAGCCGTAATCGAGTGGTACAACAGGGAATGAAAAGCGCTGTTGCTTGTCGACAATGACATCCAAGTCGTTTCCATTATCGACAAGCACCATTAATCCCACATAGACTTGTGATGGAGCGGTATTCGTGTTTGATAGTGATGATGCCATCTCACGTGTACAAGGCGTTGTCCACATTGTTGGTGCTGCTGGTAAATCGGCCATGTATTGCATATCGCGGAAATGATCAAGCATTGTATCCGTAGACAATCGAAGCTTGGCACCCATAATACGTGCAATGAATGTTGGATCGGCAAATCGATATCCTCGAGAAAGAAGTCGTACGGGTAAGTCTTTGTCGTTGCCTACGAGACGCACCAAGAATATATGCTGATCATCGCTGCTGCTGCTGTTGCTGTTGCTGCTGCTATTATCCATTTGCATCTCGATATCTGAAAATGACTTTTTCCCTGCTGACGCTGCTGCTGTTGATAATCGCGTTCGTGAAAAGATTCGACGTGCTGCACTAGGTGTTCTTTGAAGCGAGTTACGTTCTCCTGATGTGGGTTGTGCGTGAATCACGGTGTCGAAAAGCATGCCCAAATCGGCGAGTGATCCCAATTTCAAGCCGTCAGCAATGCGTTGAGCTGCATGAAGGTAAGCATGTAGTGCAGGATCGTCGCTATAAAGCGTGTCATCTTGTAGTGACCATTGTTTGGTAGTTTCAAAGAGTCGAAGAAAGAGTGGATGACTAGCAGATAGATCGCCCCCTTCTAAGGATTCAAATGGCTGTTGTTATGGGGATTCAGTGAGTCACATGACATGTTTACGACGATGACCTAACTTACATCCATGACAAGTCTTGCTGGTAATACACCATCATTCTCTACAAGAATATGGCCTTTGCTATCAAAGAGCACAAATTGAAGTAGTAGTCGTTTGCGTGTCTTTTCAAAGTTCGTTGTCTTGATCCCCAATGGTAGTTGATGTTTACGATATCGAAACACGGTCAAATAAAGCAAGCTCAAACATCCAAGTACAACAATGACAACAATGATGCCAATGAGAGCTGCTGTTGTAATTGTGGGTATAGGTGGCGCAACATCCGGTGCAGGGCGGCGATATTGTGTGCCAGCCATTGCAGTGTAATGCATTCCTAATTGACATCATGATTAATTTCCATTGTCTTGGTTCATTCTTCTTTCCCCCCTTAATGTATCAACCATGCAAACAACACATGTTGTGTCACCAGCAAGGGAGTATAATGGCTTCCTTACCTGTCACGGCAACTGCCATTAGCATGGCACATCCAAGGCGTTTGTACCATTGGTTGGCCCACTTTTCTCTTAGTTTGAAAAAGATGGAGAGTGCAATCGTAACCGCTGCACATGCAATGAGAATAGCGCCCACCACATACGCTGGATCGTATTCAAGAACAAAATAGCGGATGGCAAATTGGCCTATAAAAAGTGTCAACTATGTTGTTGTTGTTGTCGTTTATGCGTGGGTGTCTTATCCTTATTACCTAGATAATGCATACAGCCAATACCACACTGTATATATGTCATTCGACGAGGAGTAAAGTAGATGAGATTCGTGATGCTTGTATATGGTGATGATGATGATTTTCAACTTACACCGGCTACAATTCCGCTGGTAATGATGCGGACATAGTGGGCTTTTTCAGTGATGCCAACAAATCCGAATGCGATAAACATGCATCCGATGGCGACAAATAAGCTGGCAAACGTGTATCCAGGAGAATAGTCAAGCTGGTATTGATCTGATGAATCATGATAGGATAGCTTGAGGCTGTTGTTCCCAATAAAGTGCATGGACCATATACCAACTGCACCCATACAAAATGCTGCTGCCATTAACAATGCCCTGTTGTGCGTAGATGAAAGTGTTATGTTACTATGCTGCTGCTTTGCGTGTGTACGTGTTTTCTATGCTGACCAGTTGTAGACACCTTTGTAATGGGTGCGTTGTGATAGTAACTCGAGTGCCGTCATGGCACCCAGTGCTGACACCAAATAGCTGACAAAAATAACACCACCGTTGAAGTTTTGTATTGCCAGCTCATCCATCGCTATAGCTATTCGCTGAATGCAAAAGAGAGAAAAAGAGCAAAAAAGAGAGACCAGAAGTAAAAAAGAAGAGCAAGAAAAGATAATTTGTTGTGTGATAGAAAAAGAATTAATGCGACTATCCGGCAATAGACATTCAGACGCTAGTATAGAGTATTATATGAGCAATTATTATTATTCTACACATTACACACGCACGCATCTCCGTTTCATTCTTCTCGTGAGAGGGTTGCTTTTTTTAATAGTCTTGACAACGATGAAAACGCGTATGTGTGGGGGTACGTAGCTTTACTTACCATCCATCTATAACATGAATGCATTGGGTAAACATGAGGTTTCTTCAAAGCTATCAACGCTGCCACTTTTCTGGATACGGCATAGATTCCCATATACCTCTCCTTTGATGCTCTGTGCACACCACATCAAAAGCGGACGCACACATGTGGTGAGGCGTCCGTCGGTGACACACACCAACTGATTGTGTCACATGAAAGAAGATCAACCCCATTCGCACTACATTGCTTCTTGTTTTAGCTGGCCTAAAACGTACCGCCTTCATTTTCGGTATAGCTCCTTTTTGCTGTCGCGGAGGAATTGTCCCTGCTAATAAAATATTGACAGATGATTGACAGCTTGCTCTTAATAACTATCGGCAAGGTAAATAGTGCATGTCGGAATTCAGCACACGTGATGCTTTCAAAAAGTAAAGGCTTGTAGTCAACATCACGTAAATGTCCATGGTGTTGTGTGTGTGGGAGTATTGTTAGGCTTCATGGGTGGTAGTGCTACATTGTGGCTGGTCTTTGGAACAACGTGCGTACATTGGTGGGAAGTTGACCTTAGTAGATGGCGGATACAAAATGATCGGCGTAGCGCTCTTGGAAAACATTCCATCCTTTCAGCTACTTCTAGACCCTATTCGTTGCTCAATGCAGTAATGCCGCATTTCTGTGCAGATCCTTAAAGTCCAATGTAAAAACACAAGCAGCCTATTATCCACCCTTAAAAACATGAGACGCAGGCTTGTTGGAAGGATGACAGCCTCCATGTATTATAATGCACAATGAATGAAAGGCACGTGTTATTGACGTCTCTCCAGTGTACTACAATCACATCGATCAACATTGCCGCTATGTGTATTTACGCATATGGTTTAATCGCAAGCAATAATATATCATCTGATTGATAGAGTCATGTTCTATATCTAATGGCATCATTTTCTCACACAATCTAAAACCGGGCTGTATTATCAAAGGATGTGTCATCAAGTGTTATTCGATTTCCTTTTGAATGAAGTTAAAAGCTTCTGGTCATTTAATGTTGAGTGATGATGGTGCAGGCAAGATGGTTTTTTGACAATAACAGAGGAGCTTTGAGCCGAGGCTGATAGCCTTGACAAATCCATATCATCCACGCATCTCATCCCGCTTGTCATCATTCTCCGTCATGCGTTCAAGAACAGCGATATGAACCTCGGCATTATGAGACACTGATCCCTCATTTCATTTCTCGTGCATTAAATGAATGACATGCTCACTAAATTGTAACCATCACTTGATTTCCGATAGCTGTGGTTGAAGTATTGCTTGACGTCGTGGACAAATTCAAGCCTCGTTGTGTGATTGTGATATTCACTCCCGTCTACGTGATCAAGAGCTAGTCTTTGTTTTGCATTAAAGCCATCGATAGCCAAGAAATAAGATTGAAGGAAGGGGGAGACTTCACACAAAGACAACCAACAATGAGCACCACTAACAATGAACACCAACAAAGATGATCACAAAGACCAATACATGGGATCACACAGGCCATCCCCACGCAAAGTTGGAGGTAAATGTGATACGTAGACAAAAGAGACGTTTGATAATGTTGGTGACGATAGCCTTTCTTTCAAAGTAATCCTTTAATCCAAATTCATTCACAAGAGAAAGATCGAAAAGTACAACGAAAATTGCTCAATGGGAAAGATACATCGTATGGAAAGTCTCTATCCTTGGTGATGCAATATTCAAACGTGAGTGCATGGATGTGAGTTGCTCTTGATGCATGAAGGCGAGTAATGCACAAAACATAGAGTTGGATGATGGTTGGACTTGGTTGACAGGTCACACAAAGGATGAGTGGTAGTAGCTGCCATGGATACGGAATAGCGTGTACAGTACGGTACTGGGATTCACCAAGCGTTCAGGATGATAGCATCAAACATCATGCTCAAGTTGACATGTGAACAAGCTCCCTTTCCACACATCGTATGTATCCAGATCCTTCCCATGCATCAAAGCAATATCAGATCCATATCCTCCATAGTATTAATGCAAGTAGCTATACGTACATAAATCATGCAATAGCTATCTGCTATTCACGTGAAAAAGGCTGTATGACAAGTTGCTGCAAGTAGAGAACGCTGTTTTATACAATGGAGTAAAGACCTTGCTAATAGCAATTGCTGGAATGAATGCTGTTGCGTTTGATTGCGGTCGACGATTGTACAAGAGAAGGTGTAAGGCGTATGCTGTAGTAGAGTGACAAGAAAGCTGTGTACACGCCATGGACTTGCCAATCGGTCAAAGACAATCAGATCAAGACAATCGTAGGGTTGACATGGTGGGTTGAAGCAGGACAATCGTTCGCAGGTGGTAGATGTACTTGAATGGGGCAAACAGTTGAGAATGGGAGGAAGAGGGAAGAGGCTGGGTGTGGAAGAGGTGGAAATTAAATAGATCGGACACTTCTTGTATAAATGCATGAACCTGTACATCAATCCTTGATATTGAGTTTGTCCATCTCGAACCTGAAACTTTCACACAATATGCTCTTGGGAATGCTGATCACGCTGGTCTAAAAAAGACCTCATGTTTCATTGTGAAGATTTAAAATGCGGGGCGGCCCAAATGTAGGAGAGGCGATGGACACGGGAACGTAAGAGTGGACGGCCCACCGCCCCGAAGTTGCCCACATCCAATTTGAAATTGGTCAGAAGGGTGCTCTCGAGCATACTGATCAACTTTTTCTAATAGAGACAACACGCTTCATTTGAAAATTTTGAATGGGAGCGTCCAAAAGTTTGAGAGACGGAGACATTCGCAGGGTCTGCAATTCATTAATTTTCATGTTTGCTGTTTGGGCGTAGCTCAGCCAAATCCTCTCAGATCAAGAAAGTTGAATGATGGAAATGCTCGGCTGGAGCAGAGGAATAGTTCCCATGCAGTGGAATTAGCAACAAAGACGAATTGGAGGAAGGGGCTGTTAGCTGGCAGTTTATGAACTATTATCATAGTATGTATTATCATGCATTGATCCTTTCTAGTACCACCCAGTGAGCTGTGTTACACAACACATCCCTCTGCATCTTTGGCTCTATTGTAGTCGCACATTTTACAATGAGGAAGGGTCTTCCTGCTACCAATTTTTCTGACTGGACCAATCACATTTCACTCAACCCTACACCAACACTCCTTACCATGGCAACAGGTCAACTTCCCCCAGGACGTAAGGTCTTCAACAATGTTGTCCTAATAAAAGCATCAGCCTCTTTGAAGAGCAAGGTTATGAAGAGGCTCGACGTGCGTGTCAGGCAGAAACAATCCTCACTAGAGCTTTGAATCCTTAATGCCGTAATCTTCGACTTTGGCACCAACTTCCCATCTAAGGCTATCGTCACTAGACGATCAAACAACTAGGCACTATCCTCGGAGCAAGAACCATCTCACGTTCACGCAACCCACGTTCATTGTTAATTGAGAGCACGTTTCGGAAGAGATACCGCAAGAGACAAAGCTTAACGGATGGTGTCACCTATGATGGCGTCACTATCGTGCTACACAAACGCATTGTCAGCTGATGCAGAAATTACCAAGGTCAACTTTTTCACCTACCATTTCTTTATGTCACAAGATGTCATCGAGCAAGTATTGAAAAACAAGGAGGCCGGTCGTAGTCTGCCAAATCCGCCTATACGTTGAACCTGAATTGAAACCTTCGAAGGAGAGGCTACCGTCATTTTGGACACATCCACACCTTCGGGTGCCATGTTGTCGGATGATAAGCCCCACGACAGACCACTCACCCGCCGCCTTATCCCCATTGAGGTTTGGGATGATGTGTTCCCAGTTCTGCTGAAAAACGCACCTTCTTTGCTGTTATTGCAACACTCAAGGTCATCGCAAGATGGAATGCCCCAAACTTCAAGAACTCACTCGTTTCCACTGCCACCAAAAAGGCCATTTTCGTCGACATTGTCCTGTTGCATACCGTGAACGCCAAGCCGCTGCGGTGGATTCATTGACCGATCTTCAGCTTCTTGACACGTACCCAACCACAGCAATATTGTAGATGATGATCATGCGATTCGGAGATGACTACTACAGCACCTTCTATCCATCATCGATGATAATAGATCCAATTCAACCACAGATCAGCATACTGATACAGCTTCTCAACCCGATGTTGAAGATCAACATACAGATAACTACCAAGCTCAAAGACTCTAGCAATCCAACTACCGACAACGTCGACAATCGAATGATCATTGACACCACACTCAACATGACAACGACCATAGAATGAAATCGACAACAACGACCCTAATATCGACCACGATCAGCATCAGCACACGCCAACACCTAAGAAACCAAAATCCTGATACAGCATCCAGCAATACGTGTGTCACACGTAACATGAGCCAACAACGTTTACAACAATCCGCCGGGGAATCACCTGACCCACAGCATCACCAATAATATGATAAATAATAATACAGCACGACCTGCCTCTTTGTCACTGTCGCTATTCAAAGAGGCACAATCTCAATTTGTTCGACACCTACGATCACAGCATCTCAACATTGATTTACTCGCTCTACAGGAAGTATCCCAACGCATGCTCCAACACTTACTAACCAAGACATCTCTCTACTTACACCGCCTTTTCCCCAATTCCTCTTCTTGCTTCACTAAACATTGTGCCCTTATTGCCTCAACTCTCCTTCACACTTTCCAATACCTGCGTGACACTTCAATTCAACGTTGTATTGTATCCACCATTTCCAGCCGCCTGTTGGGCTTGTGTCGTATTGTGGTCCTTTATGCATCTTCTAGCGGGATCGACGACCAGAGTTTTTCCTCCTCCCGATTTACCCTGTTTTACAGATCTTCCGAACCGTGCTTTTTGTCATAGGCGATTTCAACACCCATCTTCACACCAAGTTGCATTCAAGACTCCGTGACCATGGGGCCAATTTCTGTTGGAGCACTTTCACAATTGCATGTATCCAGAGATCAATGGTATGCTTTCTCCTCCTACGGCAGCACCTACATACCATCAAATAAACTTACCACTGTGGACTACGTCTTTTGCACCCATCACCTCCACTCCATGATTTAATGCTCAGCAATGGCATATGTCACGTGCTTGGACTGACCATGAGATGCTGATGGTGGATTTTCGAATACACAGCATGGACACCGGCCCTGGCTGTTGGCGTTTTAACCCACTGCTATTGGGCCAACCTCCATTTGATCTATTGTTACAGGATACAGTGAAGGAGTACTTTACACAATTGATGATGAGCTCATTGAAATGGGATCCACAAGCATGCTGGGACAACCTCAAAGCGGTTTTAAAGCGAAAACAGCTATTGATTACAGCTTCCGCCACCGCCATACCACCAAACAACACTGTACTTTACAACGCGTCGTCGACATGTTATCATACAACGAACATATGCTCTGAGACCCACGACTGCCACCTCTTGAAAAAGAAATTGCCAACATCACAAGAACGTGTTACGAAACAAATGTTGTTACGAACAGCAACCTGATGGCACGAAAGAAGCGGAACGAACAAGTACTTCTTCAAAGTGTTGAAACAACGACAGGCCGCCACCACCATCCACCATCTCCGTGACCTACGGCTGACTCGGGGAATTTTCACCACCATGGGTGGATACCAAACATGCTCAAGCTACTATTATGAAGGATCTTATACCCTCTACCGAGATTGACTCAGGCTGCTGTTGACAAGATACTTATTCCTTCCAGTGCAAGTGACAGCAACACAAGGAGACAATCTCATGCGACCATTTTCTTTGGGACTTTGTTTGTTCGCCTTCAATAACACGCACCTTTGGGCAAGTCTTATTGATGGTTTACCTTTGAATTACTCAACACATGCAAACGTGGGAACCGCGGACCAGCTGCTACTCTTAGTGATGAATCACACCTTCACAACTTGTATCCTCGTTCGTGGTTGTCAATCGAGGCGGCTCGGCGTTTAAGAAAGGAGACCTAATGTCTTTTGGCCAACTGGCGCCCATTGTCATTGATTAATTGGATGCGAAACCATTTACCAAATTGTTGGCGAACCGGTTACAACCCATCATGCATCGCTTAATCAACCCTTTTTCAGACTGGCTTTTTGGCCAAACGACTTATCTCAGACAATGGTTGCAGGCAAAAAACCTCATGCATCATGTTCGGCGTTTCTCTCCATCATCTCCATCAGTGGGTGTGTTACTTGACCGAGAAAAGCTATGACAGAGTACATTCGGATTATCTTCTTGCGCAGGTAATGACAAGGTTTGGATTCTACTCAATTCATTGATTCCCTCCTCCACCTCTTCTTTCCACCTCTATCTCCTGTATCTATTGGTTGGATGGCTATCTTCTCCCGTGTCTCAACTTCGTGGATTACGTCAAGGTGATCCCATCTCTCCCTTCTATTTAACCTTGCCTTTGAACCCCTTATCCGCACCCTTATGTCCGACCCCATTATTAGGATCACCTTTGACCAATCCAAGCATGACCAAATGGAATCACCGCATCCATTCGTACTAATCTTGTATACATCATTACCATTCCACCAATCAGCAGCATGGCGTATGCTGATGACTTCGTTGGTATTCCTTCGTACACCCACCGAATGGCAATATTCGGTTACAAAATATCTTACGACATACAAATTGGCGTCCAATGGCAAAGTTAACTCTCAACAAGACCGTGGTTTTCCCCACTGGTATGAACTCTAATCCCTCATGGCAACACATGTTACACACGATTAATGCCTAATGGCATGATCGTACTTCTCCAACGGCTTGGACATACCTGGGATACTCCCTCTATCACCATGAGCCTCATCATTTGATAGCTTTTTGAGCAGCCTTTACACCAAGCTTGAGACCACGTACACCTACCACAACAACGTACGCTCTCAATTTCGGGGAAAGCCACAAAGGTAACTTCCCGTTTTTATCTCGGCTGCGGCATGTACTACGGGTTTGTGTCGTCCCTAAACCAATGGATTCAGAAGTGTCAAACACTGATTCGTAAGTATGTGCAATTTTTTTCCATATCCGAGCTGGTCAACTTGTTGTTTACCACGCTCACAAGGTGAGCCAGCCCGGTGGATATTCAGGATCAACATCTGCACTTCATCATGTATATCTTCAACGGGTTCTACACCATTCGCCTTCCAATCTCATCCCCCATTTATCTCCTCATTCCTCGCCCATCTCTTCCATTTGTATACTGGTCAACCACGCGCATCTACACACTTTTTTCTTCCTCCCCCCATTAATTCGTTTATGTCTGATTTCCCCATATCCAACACCTCCTTCAATTGTCAGCTAGATTACCTGAATTTCCTATTGACAAGCTCTCCACATGATTTTCTCAACATCCTCTTCCGCAACCTCACCTTTGCTCTCCCTAACCACCACCCCACTCCCCACACTCAAAATCCTCGTTTCAAACGTTTACCGATGGATAAACCGTGACCGCAAGCTGACCATCAAATATGCTACACGCATTCGACAAGCAATGGCACGTGTTCTCGAAGCCGTTGAACAAGGTACCATGACGTTACATCCAACACTACAAACCCACACCACTGCCGACAACCCACTTAGCTCCAATCCACCATTGCCCGATTTGAACTCATGGTGTCTACCATCCAAGGAATATCCCGCTTCACGTTCCACAACAACCACCTCGTTATTACGTCACCAAAGCTGAACGGGACAACTCAGAGCTTATTGGCGATCCAAAACATCCACTACCACCATTGAAACGACTATTGCACCTTACCATCCCTGAAACGTTTTAAAAGCTACGAATGCCACACGGGTCTCGTACCATTTGGTGGCGTATTCTCCACCATCATCTATCGACAACTCAACACCTTCATCGACTCATGCCAGTGAAACATCCCACCCCGATTTGTCAGCTTTGCTTGGTGAAGGAAAACCTCTCGCCATATGTTTTTGGACTGTCCCTTCAAACGAGTATTCTGGACGATGCCCCTGTACCATCCAAGCTCCCTCACACGTTACACCCGAGATGGCATGGCACGCTATCCTCTTACAACCACAACAACCAACCAGCTTTTGCTTTGTTTTTACCAAGACCGGTTAGGCTCATCCTCCAAATTATTTTGGGCTATGACGGTAATGTTTCTCCCACAAGAGATCTTTGGACCATCATCGGCATACGAATACCTTGATTCACCCATTGCTAGACATCCCACCCTTTGTCCCCCCGATTCAGTTGATACAGTAGACCATTTAAAAGATATCCCCAATAAAAACCATTAGCATACAAAAATACACTTTTACAATGAAATCGAAAAGAACTCTTTTCATATAGCATCACACTTAAGGCATGTAAAACATAAAACCTGTATTCAACTTTACAATGAATGGGCTCTTTACCAGATCAACGTGCTTGTCGGGGTCAAAGGAATCTGTGTCAAAGTATGAAGTTCATCGGAAGAACTTTCAGATTCGCAATGTCGCTACCAGCCAAACTGATCGCGGTCGACCCTTCGACGACGATGTATCAAAAATACCAGCTGTTTGCGACATTGAACGTGAAAACTTTCGTAGCTGGCGGCGTTGTTGGCTGGCCGAGCCCATTGCTCTATTCAAACCCCACATTTCATTGTAAAGTTCGGAGATACAGGTACCTTTATGTTTGTAAGCGTGATGCTATATGAAGAGTGGTCTTTGTTCATTGTCAAGTAGGTGGGACCTTGGCAGATGTGATGGTGGTCGTGTTGTGTAACACAGCTGTCAGGCTGGAAGAAAGAGTCAGTGTATAATTACTTTGCAGATCATCGAGAACAGGATGGCTGTTGAAGCAACGACCACTTTTATCCAGTCAAGCCTATTGTTGCGAGATCCACTGCATGGGAACGATGCCCCTGCTCTAGACATTCATTTCCATGATTCAATTATCTTGACCATCCGAGCCGATTTGACTGAGCTGTGGATAAAGAGAGATTACATCACTCTGGACATAAAGCACGCTCGATGTAGCCCAACTGGTTAATCTTGTGTGAGCGGAATTCAACCAAATCAGCTCGGATCAACCTACTTTAATCATGGAAATGAATGTCTAGAGCAGCACGTCCACCTACAATAGAATGCACAAAAGTTAAGAATACACAAAAGTGGCTATTAGCTGCCAATGCATGCATTCCAAATGAGGATTTGCGTACCTGTCATGCAAGGTCCCTGAAGTCCAAATTTTTTGCTGAGTTATCCAAAGAGGTCCTCTGCATCTTTATTCTGCCAGAAGTCCACCTACTTGGTAATGAACAAAGACCCACTTCTTGACATATGGCATCACTGCTTACAAACATAAAGGTGCCTGCATGAACTTGGCAATCAAACGTGGGGTTTTTATTAGAGCAATGTGCTCGGCTTGGCCAACTGCACCTGGTGCAAGTTTCACGATCAAGCTTGCCAATCCTGGACGCTGCAATGTCGTTACCAGCCAAACTGGATCTGGGGGTCAAACTCTTCGACGACGACGACCAAAAAATATTTTTGGGTTGAAGGTATACTGAACGTGAAACTTCGCGACAAGGTGCTGTTGGCCGTGTCAAGTACATTGCTCTATTCAAAACCCCACGCTTGATTGTAAAGTTCGGAGATACAGGCACCTTTATGTTTGTAAGCGTGATGCTATATGGGAAGTGGTCTTTGTTTAATGTCAAGTCGCTGGATTCTGGCAGAGCAAAAGATGCAGAGGGACCTCTTTGTGTAACTCAGCTACTTTTAAGATCAGAAGGATGGAAGGATGATACTATATACCATTGACAATATCCCACGCACAGAGCTAACAGCCATTTCCTCACAATCGGCACAAGCGTTCATCTCATGACAGTGGAACGATGCTCCTGCTTCAGACATTCATTTCCATGATTGGATTAGTTGATCCGAGTTGATTTATGGAGCTACGCTCATACAAGGTTACTTCAGTTGAGCAACACAGATACAGCACAGATGCGGATTGATGCAATCCGTCTTTTTAGCTGTATCTCAACAACCAATCCCGGACTGAATACAATCCAATTATGGAAACAGTCGTCTGAAATAGTGAGAATCGCCCACATGTCATGAGGACAACAGTGGCTATTGTGTAGTGAAATGGCTGTTAGCTCGCAATGTACGGGCTTTTGTCAATAGTATATAGTATCATCCTTCATCCTTCCAGTTTATAAAGAAGCCGTTGAGTTATTAGCAAAGAGGTCCCTCTCGCATCTTTTGCCCGCTGAAAATCCAGCAGATTTGACAAACAAAGACCACTTCCCATATAGCATCACGTTTACAAACATAGAGAAATTATTCCGAACTTACAAATTAAAACGGGGTTTAATAGCGCGCGCCGCTATTATTAGGGCGCAGCACCTTGTGGAAAGCTCACTGCTCAATGTCAACAACTAGCCCAAAATATTTTTCGGTCGTCGTTGAAGAGTTTGACCTCAGATCCAGTTCTACGGGTAGCGACGATTGCAACTGGATTACAGCTTGATTGCACCAAATTGCCAGAAGGCAATGGTTGAGCACATTGCTCTGAATAAAACCTCAATGTTTGATTGTGTTCGGAGCAGGCATCTTTATACAAGCGGATGCTAAGAGAAGGTCTGTTCATTGCTGCTGGTCAGCACATCTTCTGGCAGAGCCAAAGATGCAGAAGGACCTTTGGGTAAATCAGCTAAAAGTTTGGACTTTGTGGACCTGTATGATAAGGTACAACTTATTGTAATGCATGTGTCATAGCCAATAGCCACTTTTGTGCATCTCTAACTTTTGTGTATCTTATTGTAGGTGACGATGCTCCTGCTCTAGACATTCATTTCCATGATTAAAGTAGGTTGATCCGAGCTGATTTGGTTGAGTTACGCCTCCTACACAAGATTACTTCAGTTGGGCTACATCGAGCGTGCTTTATGTCCAGAGTGATGTAATCTTCTTCTTTATTCAGCTTCAACAAATGCCTTCCGGATCAAGATAATTGAATCATGGAAATGAATGTCTAGATAGGGGCATCGCCCCATGCAGTGGATCTCGCAACAATAATGGAATACCGATAAAAGCGTTTTAAATAGCAATACATGCCTGTTCCTAGATGATCCGTAAAGTAATTATACATTGACCCTTTCATTCATGCAAACGTAGCTGTGTTACACAACACGATCTTCAATGCTTGCTTGTTAGGTCCACCCATCGGATAATTGTTGTATCACCTGCATATATCACGCTTACAAACATAGCAGGATTGTATCTCCAAACTTTACAATGAAACGTGGGGTTTTGAATAGAGCAATGGGCTCGGCTTGGCCAACAGCACCTTGTGTGAAAGTTTCGTTCACTGTCGCAAACAGCCCAAAAATATTTTTTGGTCGTCGTCGCATCGAAGAGGCCGACCCCCAGATCCAGTTTTCATTGGTAGCGATTGGTGAATCTTGGATCGCTCACGATGGAACTTTATACTTTGACACAAGACTTTGAACTCCGACAAGCACGTTGATCTACAAAGAGCCCACGTTTCATTGTAAAGTTTGAGATACAGGCAATTTTTATGTTTGTAAGCGTGATGCTATATGAAGAGTGGTCTTTGTTCATTGTCATAGGTGGACTTCGCCAGAGCCAAAGATGCAGAGGGTCGCTCAGTAACACAGCTACTTTGCATGACTGGAAGGATTGATGGATTATACTTTATGGCTATCCACACCAGTCCACAGCGAGCTAATAGCCCATTCCTCCCATTCACTCATTGTTGCCCAAATCAATGCATGTGAACGATTCTCCTGCTCCAGCCGAGCATCACCATCCAAGTTTCGATCCGAGCGAATTTGACTGAGCTAGCAAAATATGGGAGGAGTACATTTACCCGTATACGTGCATGGGAAGTGTTGTTCATACATAAAAATGGGAAGTCGTGGTTGACCAGAAAGTGATCTTACCAAAAAACAAGCCTGCTACAAGGATCTTTTGTTGTAGGTAATATGCGGGCTCGTTTTTGCCTTGCAGACGAGGAGCGTTCGATCACGCATCAAGTTAGCATGTATCATCGACGTGTAAATGCTAATAGAAGAAGAATACGTAGGCAGCTTTGCTAAAGGTACATCGTTTCGCGGGTTTATCTAATGGCGCTAATGCTCGGCAATAATAGATCATCTATGCTCAGTGGGAACCACTTCTCACACATGTTGAACCACCATCCTTTATAAACGAGCAGCACTGCCAGCTGATGGATTGGCGAGCTTTGGTACAGCTGTTCGATCTCCTTGAAGAATTTGCGAGTCGGCCGTTGCGAAGTTGAGCGATGGCAAGCAGGTTGTTTTGACAGCGAAAGGCTTTGAATCGAGATGGATAGCCTTGAATAATTCAAATCCACGCATTTCAGCTCGCTGCTGTTCGGCTCATGCGTTCAAGGACAGCGATATGAACCTCGGGGTTATTACACAACTCCTCATAACTAAGTTGATGCGAACTTGGGCAGTTTTTCTTGGAGCAATACGTAACTGAATGAAGTACAA